CTGTACATACAACAAATGTTAGCATGATTAAAGGGTTCTTTGCATTATATAATGGTTCTTCAGATCGACAGAGAATGTATAGTACATGGTTCTATATAGAACCTTTTTGAAAAGGGTTCTATGTAGCACCAAAAAGAGTTGTTGTGATGTCAAGCTTGTAACAATAGCCATTTCACCATATAGCACCTAAAAGCGTTCTTCGATTGTTACATGCCTGACATCGTAACAATAATAGAACCCCTTTTTGGTGCTATGAAGAACCATATACAACACATTCTCCATTTACCTGAAGAACGATTTCACTGTATAACACCGAAGAGGGTTCTTTGATTGTTACATGCTTGACATCGTAACAACAGCAGAACTCTTTTTTGAGCTGTATAGAACGTTTACAAAAAGAAACCAAAGGAATCTGTCCATCAATCTGAAGAACCCTTCATAATGCACAGATTAAAGATCTTTAGTAAAGAACCCTGAAAGATCTTTTAAGAGTGTATGACATTTAAGTGTCAGCTAATGTGTCCAGATCCTGGTGGCTCTAATGAGGATTTACACTCAGTGATTATGTTTACTGACATAACTGAGTGATTATGATAGGGAAGCTCTTTTAGCCTAAAACGAAACTAGAACCAGTTTTTAAATATAAAAGATCACATTAAAACTCATTTTAATAATAATAATAATAATAATAATGTAACGAGTCTCCTAATAAACACTGTTAGAGATCTGCCTCCCGACGCGCTGAGGAGAGCGAGCCCAGCTGAAACGTGTGATATGTTGACGTTATTCAGTCTGGACGATTCTGAGCTGGTCCAGAAATTTTCGGGGCTGAAAGACCAGGCCAGTCCAGGCCACGCCCCCCTGAGAGTCCCGCTGCGTTTAAGTGGTGTCAGAAACTGGAGAGGACCTGTTCAGCCCTCAGACAGCTGACAGAGCCCTGTTCCCAGGTGAGAAACTCTGAGAACCGGATGAGTCATGAGATTACCAGATGTGACGAGTGACGCAGCGTGATCCGTCACCTTTCCTGGAGAACATGAGGGTGAATGTGAAGAACATGAAGCTGATGCAGTTCTGTGTGATCAGAGTCTGTGTTACAGAGACTTTCTATCTTAGGTTCCAAGTAAAGATCTGACAGGTCAAGACTTTGCGCTAATTCGCATGACAGAAGCAAATCTTACACTCTTAAAAAAATAAGGTTCTTCAAGGGTTCTTTTGTATCCTTGCAAGATAAAGAACCCTTTTTTGGGACTATATAGAACACTTTTTCTTATTTTAGGAATTTTATCTTGCCTTACAGCAGCTTATCTCCAGTTAGGAAACCTTTAACTACACACTTAAAGATGGTTCTTCAAGGGTTGTTTAGTAAAGAAAATGGTTCTATATAGAACCATGCACACTCAAAGAACCCTTTGCATGTTTAAATGGTTCTTTGCATGGTGAAATGGTTTTTCAGATTGATGGAGAATGTGTTGTATATGGTTCTACATAGCACCTTTTTGAAAATGGTTCTATATAACACCAAATAGGGTTCTTCTATTGTTACAAGCTTGACATCATAATATTAGAAGCACTCTTTTTGGTGCTATATAGAAGCATTTTCAAAAAGGTTCTTTGAGTGTTGATGGTTCTATATGGAACCTACGAAAGAACCCCTGAAGAACCATCTTTTTAAGAATAAAACGTTACTCCTCCTAATAAACAGACACACGTTCAGCTCTGTCTCCTCATTATTCACCACCATCACTGTAATATTTCATCATCAACATTAACACACGAAGGTGATCAGAGGGGCGGTGGAGATCGAGTCTGCAGCGTCTGAGATCTTTAAAACGCAGAGTTAGAAAAGAAAATCATCTCACAGTGAAAGCAGCGTTTTACAGTAGAGATAAATGGAGCTCATTATGCTGGTAGTGAACTATGCTGCTGACTCAGCTGCCTAAAAACCATAGAAACGGACCTTAAACAGAAGTGAGGACCCTGTTGGGGTTCATCCTAAAGTTAGGACAGGATTTAGGAGGTTTAGTCTAGTTAGGATGTTTGTGTGATGCTGTTTTCTTATCTGGAGTTGATGATGAGATGATGAAGGTAGGAACTGTTATTCTGGAATAGATACTGAACTAAATTCAGTCATCATGGAGACTAAACAGACCAGATTTTGGAGTTTAGACGGTTCTGTAATCTGTGCTCCTGTTTTCATTCCTTCTTTCTGTTTCTCTGTATCTGTAAACCTGAATGGGGTGAAGTCACTTTGACTTATCTGATTACTCAGTTTGGGTGTTTACTGCAAGATGCACCACAACCCGGACAAAGAAGTCAAGTCTTTGAACATTTATCCTGATTTTTCTTTGCTATCTTAAAGAAATAATTAGGAAATATAAAATTATATTTTTCCTCATTCACTTCCAAGTTTCTGTTTCTCCCCAGCAGGAAGTGTGATGTACATGTATACGAGTTTCTCACTGGGAAATACGACCTCGTCGTCTGTTCACACGTCTGTATTTCTCGTTTCTGCTGTCTGGCTGGTGTTTTCCTCTGAGGAGGAGCTTCTTCACACGACATGCGTGTTTATGTGGTTTATCTAAGAGATAAACAGAGCAGTGAGGATGTGTTGAGTTTGTAGTTTATTACTTATCTGGTATGTATCAGTTCTGGCCTGTTTTTCTGGTGCTTTCGAGCTCAGATGAAGCAGAAATAAGACGTGGCTTAACTGTACATGTTTAAAGTTTATTTTACATTCACTCTTTATTATACTTGTATATTTGTTTACGCTCCTGGGCAAAAAAATGGGCCACACCCAAAATATGATGTTTGTTTACTGATGGTTCTGATTTGGTCAGGGTCCAGATTTAATCCCTATAGTGAATATTTGGACTCACATTAAACCCAAACCAGCTCAGCAGTGTTTCTCAGCTGTGTGAAGCCGTCAGTGCTGAGTGGATCAATACTGACTCCTCTTTCTGTGAAAGACTGTCTGCAGGTTTACACACTGAACTCCAACATTTAAAGACAATCAGAGTGAAAAACTCTCTATCACTGATTTACTGCAGCTGTTTGATTAAGGATTTGATGTTAAGACCATTAAAAGCTTTAATGTTTTGCCACTTTGGGTTTTTTTTTTGTCCAGGAGTTTTTTTTGCTTTTTGTTGTTGGACTGTTTGCTTTTTTCCTCTGCCAAGGGCTGCATTGAAAATTCCAACGTCCTCATCTTCTTCATCCCAGTTCGAGTGCTGCACGTTTGGTGTCTCCGTTTAGGAAAGTCGCTTTAGTGGTGAAACTCTGCCGGATTGCTGTCAGATGTGCTTGGCTGCTCCGTCTGGATCCGCCTGGTACTGGAAGACGCGGCTGTTTATAGTCAGCGTGTTTGTCTGAGGATGGACTCCCCGTTCTGTGATCTGGTTTCCCCGAGCAGGAAGACGTGGTTCTGAAGTACGTCATGTGTGTTTTCCCAGAATGCCTCGGAGGATCAGTCGTTCCAGATTTCCTCTGGAATTCCCTCACACATTAGAGACCTTTTCTTAATGAAGGAAGTCTGAAGAAGTTGGAAGAGCATGTCTTGCTTTCCTTGGATGAAATTCCTTCTGTTTTCTTTTTTGTTTTGTTTTTTTCCAAATGCTGCCCAGTATTTTTGTAGAATCTCTCTGAGGAGCAGATAAATATCTGAAGGTTCTGAGCGCCGCGCTCTTCAGGAGAAAATCACGGCAGGATCAGAGTCTTTATTCACGCTTTTAGAGTTTATGTTCCTATTTTTATTTTACTTCATCATAATCACGTTGAAGTACCACAGAAATGGTTGTAGCGTAACCATGGAAGTAGGTTTAGTTTAACCAAACAGGTGTAGTGTAACCATGGAAACTAGTGTAGTGTAACCATGGAAACTGGTGTAGTGTAACCATAGAGACTGGTGTAGTGTAACCATGGAATCTGGTGTAGTGTAACCATAGAGACTGGTGTAGTGTAACCATAGAGACTGGTGTAGTGTAACCATGGAATCTGGTGTAGTGTAACCATGGAAACTGGTGTAGTGTAACCATAGAGACTGGTGTAGTGTAACCATGGAATCTGGTGTAGTGTAACCATGGAAACTGGTGTAGTGTAACCAGGGAAATCTTTGAAGTGTAACCATTGAAACTAGTGTACCGTAACCATGGAAACTGGTGTAGTATAACCATAGAAACTGGTGTACTGTAACCATGGAAATCTTTAAAATGTAACCATGGAAACAGGTGTAATGTTACTATGGAAGCTGGTGTAGTGTAACCATAGAGACTGGTGTAGCATAACTCTGGAAATCTCTGAAGTGTAACCATGGAAAATGGTGTAGTGTAACCATGGAAACTGGTGTAGTGTAACCATGGAAACTGGTGTAGTGTAACCATAGAAAGTAGTGTTGCATAACCGTGGAAACAGGTGTAATGTTACTATGGAAGCTGGTGTAGTGTAACCATGAAAACGTGTAGTGTAAACATGGAAACCATTGTAGTGTAACCATAGAAACTGGTGTAGCTTAATTATAGAAATCGGTGTAGCTTTGCCATGGAAACAGGTGGAATGTAATCATGTTAAGGGTGTTGCGGAATCATGGAACCGTTCGTGCTCCGTGCATCAGTGGATGTTGATCAGTCGGCCGATGTTATAACTGTTCTACGCTCTGGATTCTGAGAGCTGCGCACTGTTTACACGTTTCACTCACAAACTACAGATCACAGGGTTTATTTTAGAAACTAAGGCTGCAAAGAACTGATGCAAACTACAGTTTCTGAAAAGTGAGAGTCTCCAGTGTAAACGACTGTGATTACAGGGCTGTTTACACTCTGGGTTTAAATAGAGGCTCTGACCTGCTCTGAGAGCTTAATCCGATGGGCACTTTTAATTCAGGCCTTAATTTTCCAAATTAAGTTTACAGAAGAAGAAAAACCCTCCCTCCTGGAAGATTCATTATCTGTGGCTGTTTCTGAGAAAACAATGTCCCTGAGCTGGACGTGGCTGTTCCCTTATTTGGGTTGTGTTGGGGGCAGAAGCAGGAGCATTGTTGTGGAGCTGCAGGATGTCCTGAGGAAGAACCTCAGCGTTACACTGCAGGAGCCTCTGAGCCGAGCGCATTCGTGCACGCCGAGGAACCGAGGGACGGATGAACTGGGTTCTGCTTCCAGTTTCACCTGGAGAAAACCGAGAAACAGGGAGAGATCCACCGCTGGCAGCGTTGCTGTGGCATCAGGAGGGACGACCCATCAAGCGGAACTAGAAAGTGGCAAAGCTGAAGTGGATTTTTAAGTTTTTTCCGCCGCTGAACTCTGGTCAGGAAAAAGTGGAAGTTGAAGTCCGCTGACTCGCGCCACGACTGCGGAGGTATAGAAAGCAGATTCTGAAGGAGTTTTTGGTCGTGTGTCGGACTCTTCAGCTGAGAGACGGAGCGCTTTGCGATTTAAATCGAGGTGTGTAAGTTTGGGGTGAAAGTTGTGTGTGTGTGAGAGCTTGAATATGTGTGTGTGAGTGTTTCCTGTGTGTATGTGTGTCGGGGGGGTGAAGGCTCTCAGACAGGAAGTCTTGCTGAATTCGAGTTTCTCTGAGGCTTCACTGATCGACTTTGGCAGAATCTTTGCTCAGTTATTTCCTGTAGATGGAGATTTGTATGCTAGTGTGGCGTTTTTGTAGACTTTCTGCGTAAAACATTAACGAAACACCACCTACAATGACTTAAAGTGACTAAAAATGACTTAAAATGGAAATTCGCATTTCTTCCTGCACCTCCAGATGGAGGAAAGTGACATGTCATGGGTAAGTTCACTTCTGCCCATTCAAACAAGAAGACATATCTGGTAAAACCGAATGTTTAGCCTTTAAATAACCAATAATACTAATCATAGAGGCTGATTTGGGTCACAGTTGCTGCATAATGTAACACAAATTAAAAAAACAAGCAGAAAAGCACAGCTGACCGCTTCAGCGGTCTGTGTTTATACTTGTTGCTGTTTTACCATCTTCATTTGAGAAAACTGTGCAAATGTTTCAGAAACCTGATAAAATTAAATTTAAAAAGCTGTTTATCTGGTCAGAAAATGTTTATTTACTCAGTAAAACAAAAAATTAGAATAAATGCAAATAACATTAATACAGTAAGTAGATATAATGTGTGTCAGTATGTTTTTCTGTCTTCTCCTCAAGGAAGATCAGTATTAACTGTAGTTATCATCCAATACCTGCTTTATCTGATCAATACTTCATTAAATTAAAATTTAATAAATCTGTTTGTTGCTGGAGGCGTCCAGGAGAAATTTGGAACCAACTCGCTCACAAGATATAAGCTACTTAATGAAATACTTACAATCAAAAACATGTTTATTTCCAAGATAAATGGTTTTAAATAACGTGTTCAGGTTTGCTTTTGCATAGTAAAGTAAAAACTATTTATCTGGGAGATACTAATATTTGTAACTCATCTACAAGACATCGAGTGCAATGTGATGATTATCATCAGGAACGTTCTGCTAAAATTTTTAAGTATCGTATTTTGCTGGGGAAACATTTGAACAGCTACATTCTATGTATATTAGCATCTTCTGGCATTAATGAATGACAAACAGGCAAAAAAATGGTGTTTTAAGCTGGATCTGCTTTTAAGTGTGATTAATTCTGATTATTGTAATATTGTCTGTTTTTTCTATCCCAAATATAGTCGATCGTGTTTGGTGTCTGAAGATTCTTTAGTTTTAGCACTGGAGCTACAAGGCTAATGCAGCTAACAAGTAAAGGGAGAGTATACCCCACCAATTAGCATGGTGCTAACTGCATAACTAAATCATCACACGCTCGCCTTAAACGTGTCAGTGGACTTTGTCTCCTATTCGCCAGCTTTGGATTCTTCATTCCACCTTAAATGGTGGATTCTGGCACCTCAGACCTCAATCCAATATGCTAAAATATGCTAATGAGAGGACGTGCATCCGGAAACCTGCAGCGCCAGCGTAGCTAGCTTGTTTGAGATGTTTGGACCCAAACAGATAATTAAGCAGTAGAAACACAGAGGGAGTGTGTTATGGCGAAATAACATCACGGCTGTGATTTGGTCGCCGTAGATCATCACAGCCGTGATGTTATTGGCGATAACACACTCCCTCTGTGTTCTACTGCTTTAATACAACAGTTAAATAAATACAGTAATAAATTAATAAACTGGGCCGTGAACGCGGCGTTTAATATGTTTTAATGTTCGCAGTTCCTTCACCAAATTATAGTTCCTTAACGAGCAGCTTGTTGCTGCATCAGAGTAACGAGCTCCGCCCACTCGCTGCTCAGTCTGCCTCGCCTTTTGAAGTCCAGACTGAACCATAAAACTGCTGCAATATCAAGTTCAGCTCAGTTTTGTCAGTTTTTGCCAGATCAGTATTAATGTTGTTTTGTTCCAGCCAGTCTGTAAAGCATCTTACAGCCCATTTAGTTTGGCGAATGGTGTTGGGTTCATTTCTGGCTGATTCCAGGTTGTTCAGCTGTTCTTCTGTCTCAGCTGCCGACTGAAAAGCTGCTCAGTGGTGATGACAGTTTGGGAATTTAGTGTCGTCTCATCTTCAGAGTCTGACCAAATCGGCTGTCAGTCAAATGTGATCTTAAAAGTGTCCGTTTTCTGTTTGTCGCAAAGTAAGAAGTAAAAACGTTCAAATGTCTTGAACGCCTCCTACAGCTGTCACAGTCGTTGCCTAGCAACGGCGTCTCAGCGGAGTGATTCAGTATTTGTGAAAAACCTGTGATGTTATGGTGAAATAACAGCACAGTTAGAACGCTGCTCAACCAATCAGCTTGTGTGGCCGGAACTAACTGTCGTATAAATGACGTTAAATCACATTTATGTTCCACATCTGTGTGATAAACTGTGAAATACGGTGTAGAGATGTTCTAGTAGCAGCAGCTTAGCATGCTACAGCTTCAAACACCGCAGCACAGGTTTTTCAGCTCACTGAAGCTTTTTGGACTCGAGTTTGGAGGGTAAAGACTCAAATCTGAGCTTTTTTTGTGTGGAGCTTTTAGCTTAAGCTACTATTGCTCCACTATCAGAGGCTAACGTTAGCATAGCAAGAAGGCTGCGACAGCTTTACACACAACACGACAAATTTATTTGAGCTCACTAAAGCTTTTCTGACGTGAGTTTAGAGATTAGAGACTCTAATCTGAGCTGTTTTTTTGTATATGGAGCTGTTAGCGTAAGATACTATTGCTCCACTATCCTTATTAGCACGGGAGGCTAACGTTAGCTTAGCAAGAAGGCTAAAACAGCTTCAGCTGGCTCTGAAGAAAGTTTCTTGATTCCAGGCATTTAGGAATTCCAAGCTTTCAACAACTCATACATCGATAATCCAGTAATCCAGCTTCTACTTTAAACTGAAAAAGCAAAGTAAAGTGTAATATTAATGATGACCAATTAGCTTCCAGTCAAACCACCAGGCTTAAAGAGACAGAGGTTAGTAAGTGACGTCATAGAGATTCATTATGACCATTTTTGGTTCATAAAACCACAAAACTGTCATGAGAGGAAAAAATGAAATGGAAGAAAAGTGCAGGATTTGGGCTCTTTAAGGTTCAGGGATGCGTCTGTGCCATTTTTTGTAGTAATACCGTTTATTTTTCAGCACGCTTCAAATTATGACCTGAGGGGAACCTTAAATTCACCTTAATTTTCTCTGACCCTAAACCTGGACCCAACCTTAGCCTAAAACCCTGGTCCTGACCCTGGATAGTTCAATAACAGATTGAACATCTGTAGTTAGTCTACAGGAGGCTGCCCAGATAAAGTAGGACCAGCCGTCTTCGAGAACTTTGTCCAGAGTTGGTGATGATAGCCACACGGTTAGCGTCACGCTAATTGGAGGGGTATAAGCTTTCATTGCCTGTTTCATTGCCGAGGCTATATTAGCCTCGTAGCTCCAGGGCTAAAACTAAAGAAGCAAACTTCAGACACTGAACACGTCTCGGCTGATCAACCACATTTGTAGTAACAACGGGAAACTTTGATGGCTGAACTTTTTAAAATTTTCTAACCACGTATTTTGCTGGTGTTCACAGAGCTGCACTCAACAGACTTTGTTATTAATTCCTATTAGAGCTGGATTATGTGGTTTATAGAGGAGGTCCAGTAATGTAACCCGTGTGTGATTTGACTGGCCGATTTCTGTAATTCCCCAAATTACCCTAAACTCCCCGGATCCAAACATCATCGCTCTGTTTTTGAGCCTCGTCTTCATGTCACAAAAAAGAAAATAAAGGGAGGCACAGTTTTTGACGAAGCTGAGGTCACAGAATTTTCCTGTTCCATCTTAAATAGTGCAAGTTACGTTCTGCCTCGCCTTTTAAAATGGATTGGGAAAATTAAGCTGCCAGAATGTAACTGCTGTACCATTTAAGGTGGAACAGGAAAGTTCAACCTGTTTTCTGCTAGCCGTATTTTTTTCATTACTTTACTGGGATGTGGATTCGAGCAGGACTGCTGTTACTGAGGAGCTGAGTTTGGAGAATTATAGGAGGAATTATTACTTGGCAGACTGTAAAACTACAGACATGGCAGATTCATACTGGATTAAAATCACAGTTCTTGTCGCTAATCACTCAGATTACAGCGTGTCCTTATGTAACACTAATCCAGCTGGAATAGGGCTTTAGTGAAGTGTTCCTGCTGCTCTGAGTCTTGTTTTATTGTGACTTTCTGCAGGTGTGAACTTCAAGGAGGTGAACAAAGAAAACGGGAGCGTTGTTTTTCACGAGATACACACATCGATCGACAATTTGGCGTTCACGTTTGGCAATGTGTGAGTACAGTGTTTTCACAGCTATGTGGATGTATGCAGGACTGTTAGTGAGGGCTGCACAGTGTGGACAGAAAATGTGATGTAAATTGCAAATAAACACTAAATTATGATTAAAATAGTCTACCTGACTGGATTAAATGGACTTTTAGAATAATATTAATGGAAATATATAAAAAACCCATGAACTGTTCATCTGGAATTACACCATTCAGCAGTACTGACCTTCTGCCAAGTAGACCCCGCCCTCCCTCATCAGACCTGATGGGCCGAAATGCAACTAGGACTTTTGACTAATAGACTTTTAATGGGATACGTACAGTGATTAGGGTGATATGATTATCATGCAGTTAAAATTTGTGTTTATATGTGTTTAAAATTAAATGTTTTTGTTTTGGAGTTTGTGTAGAGTTGGAACAGCTTTTGCGCAGAACCCTTTAGATCAACATCATGAAGAACGTACAAGCTTTTGAGTGGTACTGTGTGTTTTCTGGCTGTTGCTCTTCTCCAGGATCTCTAACAGTCTTGTTCTGTGTCTCAGAGTGTCTGATTTCCTTATGGGAGATGTGGACAGTGGCTCCAGCGTTGGGCCGCCGCAGGCCGGACGCAGCCGGGTAAGCCTTCATCTTCACCATCGCTCTGAAACCAGTGATCACAGCCTCCTGATTACAAAGTGCACAGAGCGCTAAACAGACGGAGATACATAGATTTATGGGTCGTTGACATGAGGGGCACTTTTTGTGTCCAAGTCCATTGTTTTCCCAAAAAATAAATGAATAAATGATATATAGGCCTGAAATATTGATCATCTTTGTTTATCGAAATCTGAATTTAAGAGAGGGCAATTTTCAAATCGCAAGAGCGGCAATTATTATTATTATTTTTTATTTATTATAGTCTCCACTCTTAAAAAATGATAGTTCTTCAAAGTTCTTAAAAAAGATGGTTCTTTAGTAAATACAGTGATTCTATATAGAACCATGAACAACCAAAGACCCATTTGTATGCCCAAATGGTTCTTTGCATGGTGAAATAGTTCTTCAGATTGATAGAGAACATGTTCTATACGGTTCTAAATAGTACCAAAAAGTGTTCTGCTATTGTTACAATGTCAAGCTTGTAACAGTAGAAGAAATTTTGGTGCTGTTTAGAACCATTTTCAAAAAGGTGCTATATAGAGCCATATGCAACACATCACTCTGAAGAGTTAGGGCTGCCCAGTTTACCTGAAAAGAGGAACAGTTTACTTAGAAAGAACACATGGATTTAGGTTCTGCAGGGCTTTTAAAAGCAGTGTGTTTTGTTAAAGCTCTATCTGTGGGCAAAATAAGCTTCATTAGAATGTATTTATTACTTTAGTAATCCAGTTTAAACCTGAACATAAAATTCTCTGAAAACAGGGTGAACATACAGGGAGATTCACTCGAAAGAGGCCCCGAATATTCTGTTGTAGCTCCCGTTAGGATGAAGCAATCGGAACTAAAAAAATACGCTACATACACTATATTGCCAAAAGTGTTCGCTCGTCTGCCTTCACACGTATATGAACTTGAGTGACATCCCATTCTTAATCCATAGGGTTTGATATGATGTCGGCTCACCCTTTGCAGCTATAGCTGCTTCAACTCTTCTGGGAAGGCTTTCCACAAGGTTTAGGAGTGTTTATGGGAATTTTTGACCTTCTTCCAGAAGCGCATTTGTGAGGTCAGACACTGATGTTGGATGAGAAGGCCTGGCTCGCAGTCTCCGCTCTAATCCATCCCAAAGGTGTTCTATCGGGTTGAGGTCAGGACTCTGTGCAGGCCAGTCAAGTTCTTCCACACCAAACTCGCTCATCCATGTCTTTATGGAGCTGCTTTGTGCACTGGTGCGCAGTCATGTTGGAACAGGAAGGGGCCAAACTCCCCAAACTGTTCCCACAAAGTTGGGAGCATGAAATTGTCCAAAATCTCTTGGTGCTGAAGCATTAAGAGCTCCTTTCACTGGAACTAAGAGGCCGAGCCCAACTCCTGAAAAACAACCCCACACCACGGAAACCCTTTCTGTGAAGCTCTCTACGCTGTTCTTGAGCTGATCTGAAGGCCACATGAAGTTTGAAAGTTGGCGTCCTCTGTGCACTATGCGCCTCATCATCCGCTGACCCCGCCCTGTCATTTTATGTGGCCGACCACTACTGGCTGAGTTGCTGTCATTCCCAGTCACTTCCACACTGGAACTCACTGAGCTCCTGAGAGCGACCCATTCTTTCACTAATGTCTGTAGAAGCAGTCTGCAGGCCTAGGTGCTCGGTTTTATACACATGTGACCATGGAAGTGATTGGAACACTGAATTTAATGATTTGGATGGGTGAGTGAATACTTTTGGCAATATAGGGTACCTCGACATATGTGTAATCGATTGCATTACGTGTGTTGCTGGAAGTGATCTCCGTGTTCTGCCAGACACTTGAAGGTGTATGGGTGTTTGTACCTGGAAGTTGCAAACGGAGGTTAAATGTCACAACGGCTGTCCGGCACCTGCCTCATCGCTCCGACGCAGAGGCATCCCAGCTTATTCGAGGCTCCATATACTGAGGAGCTCATTGCACGTTGTTTCGTTCAGATTGGTTCGTCCTAGAGAAAGTTATCACAGAATATTCAGGGCCTCTTTCAAGTGAATCTCCCTGTAGCTTCCATTTGAGTACTCCTCTGTTATTGCAGTCTCCCGTTCTCATACTGATATGGTTGATTTCGGGGGAGCTCTGTCCACTTTACCGTCACTGCTCATTGATGTATTCATCAACAAGTGTGTTAAAAAATGAAGATTTTTTAACATGTCGTGTTTTTCTGTGTTAACTTTGACTCCAATAGTAAATATATTATTATTATATTATTATTTTCCTTCCAGTCCTTTGAGAACCTCTCTCGAGATTCAGGAGGATGTGAAGAGAAGGATGGTCCGGCAGGTCAGTATTTCTCCTCGTTTTTCCTCACGCTTCTCTCAGCGCTTTCCTCACACTTCAGTCCGTCACTGTTGTTTGTGTTTCTATAAGGTCAGACAGGTCAGTGCAGGGCAGCTGATGTGCTCTTATAGATAGTAACTTCTGGAGTCTAGGTTGAAATGTGTAGGTGTTAAAGAGTACTCGTGAGTAAGTGTGAACAATATGGTAAAAACATAACGTCACAGTACTTTGAAAGGTGCTGTAGAATGTAAAACTGGTGTGGTTGAATAAGGTGACAGCCGTCTCTTTCTTCAGATACAAATCCTGCGTTTGTAAAAGAGGCAGTAAAACCAGCCAATTCGAAAATCCTAAACTGTTATGTAACAGTCTTCACTCATTAATATTAATGCCCTCAAAATTTACATAACCCCGCCCAACAAAACAACAACAACAGAGCAGCAGCAATGAAAATGACCGACTGTGCAGAAATGCAGCTCCAGGCTGTGAAGGAACGTCGGCACTTTTCATTCCCTTCACAAGAACCGAACTGTCAGCGGCTGATGATCATCTTTAATCCAGGCTGAAGGGCTTCCTGTTCGCCAGCTTCCTAATCCAGCGTCCGTTCCGTAGCTTGTACAGGCGCCAGAATGTAACTGCAGCACCATTAAAGGTGGAACTGAAAATTCTCAAACCAAGCTGGCGAACAGGAACTTCAGCTCCCACATCTCTAACAGGATCCCGGCAGCTGTAACTCAGAGCTGTTAGCTTCTCTGCTCATTTCACTCCGGACAGTTTCTCAAAGCTCAGACAGCATCGAGCAGCTTCGCTCAGCGTTTGACCCTGAAGAGACTCAACTCCACCTTTATTAGCACCACAACCCCAACAGCAGCCTGTAAGCAGCCCTGCTGAGAGACTTTATTCACTGTCTGACGGTTGAAGCATCTTAAACTGAGAGCTTCATAGTGAGAACTAATTACTTTGTGTTGTCGAGATTCAAAGCGAGTAGCTGGTGTAGGTAACGTTAGCAACTAGTGAGCTCCAAGTAACTAGCATAGCTAACTGAACAGTGTGAGGACCAGCTGATTTACACAGAGGGTCATTTTATTTTCCTGCTGTGTCTATTTACTTATGCTGGTTCTGTGTGAGCCATTGCGGTGCCTCACGGTAAACCAGCCAATCAAAGCAGAGCTCATCAGATTATTAATGAGCCCCAAAAAAAAGGGAAAACATTTCATTCTAGATCCAAGTCACAGGGCTGTAAATGAGCATGTAAAACCACATCTGGGCACTCTGGACAAAATCGCAGACCTTCTGTGTAAACATCAGAGAACAGTTAAAGTTCTGACTAAATGCATTAAATGGCATCTTTAAGACATTTTCACAATACACAGTATAAATCACAGTATTTAGTTTTTCTTTGTTTACCGTTATTCTACACTGATTGTTGTTTACAGGCTCTCTGTAATTGGTCCAAACGTGTGATCTGAACACTTTTTAGTGTTCTCCATTCGTAAAAAAGATAATGTGTCTATACAGAACCGTAAAGCGTTTTTCTATTATTATGATATCAAGCTTGCAACAGTCAAAGACCCCTTTTTGGTACGTATAGAACCCTTTTCAAAAAGGTTCTGTATAGACTCATATACAGCACATTCTCCATCAATTTTACCACCCAAAGAACTTTACCGTCCTTTAATCATGCAAAGGGTTCTTTGAGTGTTCATGGTTCTATAAAGAACCATCTTCTTTAATAAAGAACCCTTGAAGAACCATCTTTTTTAAGTAGAAGTGCTGATTGTACTGTCATTTTCTCAGAAAATAGTATCGTGATGGAATCACTGTAATGATCAACAGCTTTTAGTGTTGCTAAGCTGTATATTTGATAATATTACATAAATTTGATAATTAAAGTGTTTGAAAACATTAAAGCTAATAAGCAACACGTCTACCACGTTTATGAAGCCATGACCTTCTGTAGGGATACAGATGTGTTTATCATGCTAAATGCCAGCCTGTCACCAGCAGCTCTTCACTCCAGACTGTCTGGAGATAAACACAGCCGTCGAGGCTCCGTTCCTGTCTGATCGGAGGAGACGGTCGGTTTTAACTCCATGTGCCGTCTATATAAGTTTCTACTGCTGCTCCGCACTGCTGGATAGCTAGCGTGCTCTCCGTTAGCGTTATTTCTGAGAAGACATCCAGTAAAGAAGGAAACTTTGCACAGACTGCAGCTGTATTTCAGTGGATGTTATTAAAAACACTTTAAAAGGAAAAAAATAAAATATAATGACACAGAGCTTGTTAACCACCTGTAGATGAGCTGAAGCAACAAAACATCCATGTTCTGTAGATGTGACATCACAACCATCACAACTAACTGGTAGTCTGACGCACTCAGTGTTCAGGTTTAATGCCAGAAAAGGTGGATATTCTGCTGTTTGTGGCAAAAAACGGGCCTGAAAATTTATTTATAGAAAATTACTGCATTTAAATCCCAGTACTGTTCAGGCCCTTCACTCCCCTCAGCCTCTCTCTCTCTCTCTCTCTCTCTCTCTCTCTCTCTCTCTCTCTCTCTCTCTCTCTCTTTTTCTCTCTCTCTCTCTCTCTCTCACCGCTGTTGTTTTGGTTCTGGCTGAGGTTCTTCTTTCTCCTCTGAATCGCTCGCATTCTTCAGCTGTTTTGGACGTTTTTGTGTGGAATGGGAACCACATGTGTAGATCTGGGCCGGGGGAGGATCACAGCGCTCAGCACGTCGAGAAGCATCCAGAAAACTCCCTCTTTCACTGTATCACACGTGAGCCAGTGAGGTCCAAACGCTAGCATGCTTTGGTTCATGTGCTGATAGACGCTGGATGGACTCACCACTGTTCTGTAGCGGAGCTGGGCACTGAGTTCCTCTGTAGAACCCTTTCGGAGAAACTTGCTATACGGGAGTTCTGACTCCACTTTACATATTTTAAAAAATGAGGTGTCTCTGGTTGTAGTGGAGTTTCTCTGGAATTCAGCTTTATATGCCCCTGGGAAATCATGAAGTATTGTATCTTAATAGTTTTAAATTGGTCCTGTGGTTCTCTCAGGTGGTGATTATCACCTTTGAAGCATCATCAGCATCATCATGTTCATTCAGAAGCATAAATAAAGTGGCAAATTGCATTTACAAATACATGTACAGGAAATACAGGAACCTTTTCTTTCTCTTTTTTGTTTCAGTTTTCAGTGTCCTGAATTTCAGTTTTATTCGGGAACTTTACTAATTTTACTGCGTGTGTGCGTGTGTGTATGTGTGTGTGTGTGTGCGTGTGTGTGTGCGTGTGTGTGTGCGTGTGTGTGCGCGTGTGTATGTGTGTGTGTGTGTGTGGGCAGATTCCTCTGTGCCGGTGTTTCGGGAGCTCTCCGCTGTAGAGAAGGTGGACCAGGCTCTGCTGAGGAATGACAGCGGAGTTGAATCTGCCCTGCTTTACGCCAAGGCCTGGTCCAAATACACCAAAGACGTTCTGGCCTGGGTGGAGAAACGCCTCAGCCTGGGTCAGTCTGCAAAACCACCACACGCTTTAACAGATCCACCTCCAAACTCAGTCCCGCCCCGAGAACCTGATCGAGCGCTCATTCTAACACTGACCCTCTCTGTTCACAGATGTGGAGTGCGCCAAAAGCTTTGCTAAACTGGCAGAATCTGCTAAAGCTGTAGCGAGTCAGCAGGTGAGAGTTATTACAGTAAAGTCCATCACTTACTCACTTCACCAGCGAAGGGTGTAAATCAGAGAAATCCATTCTTACAGTTCTGTAAGAAACAAATACACTGAATACACAAATATATCTGGAGGAACTGTTTACTCAGGAGAGCAATATAGACACCAAAAACAGTTCGGTTTAACACTTTGGTCAAATAAACGTGTGCATGCCTCTTTTATTTTTATTATAATAAATAATAATCTGTTTCAGTGCAGTTGAATCGCCACCTCTCGATCCATTTACACTGAATAAAGCTGTTAGAAGGAAACGGCAGTATGAGAGTGTAATTACTGTTATTGTCTTTACTGAAAGGACTACATGCCGTTCCGGGACATTTACGTCTCTGCATTCAAGAACGAGATTGAGTACAGTCAGCTCCTCCTGCAGACAGCTATAGCGCTCCAAACCAACAAATTCATACAGGTAAAACATCTCACACCAGTAAACACCAAACCAGTACACTTATACTGGTAAACATTACATATAAATACATGTCAAGCCAACAAATTCATACAGGTAAAGCATCTCACACCAGTTAACACCAAACCAGTACACTTATACTGGTAAACATTACATATAAATACATACCAAACCAACCAATTCATACTGGTAAAACATCTCACACCAGTTAACACCAAACCAGTACATTTATGCTGGTAAACATTACATATAAATACATGTCAAGCCAACAAATTCATACTGGTAAAACATCTCACACCATTTAACACCAAACCAGTACACTTAAACTGGTAAACATTACGTATAAATACATACCAAACCAACCAATTCATACTGGTAAAACATCTCACACCAGTTAACACCACATTACATATAAATCCATACTAAACCAACAAATTCATACAGGTTATGTATCTCTCACCAGTAAACACCAAACCAGTGTATTTATACTGGTAAACATTACATATGAATAGATACCAAACCAACAAATTAACTCTGTTAATTCATTCAACATCTCACTCCAATAATCAGCAAAGTCATGCTGGAAAAAAAATCTAACTAATAAACACCAAACCAGCAAATTCATGGTCCCTATTACATAACAAACCAATACATTCATACAGGTACAACACCTCTCACCAATAAACATCAAACCAGCAAATTCATACTGGTAAACATTATATATCAATAAACACCAGTGTAGTGCATTCATAGTGGTAAAACATCAAACACCAATAATCACCAAACAAATTCATGCTGGCACAACATCACCGTCAGTAAACACTGGCAAAATATTACACCAGTAATCATGAAAGCTAAAATTTGGCTGAACGAGTAACATTTTATACACATAAACACCAAATAAACAAAATAATACTGGGAAAATATCAAACAGCTGTAAACAACTTAGACTTACTAGGTCATGGCCAAGACTTAATTATCTCATTCCCATGCGTTAATAAGGCGTGGCCACGCTTTATTCTTATTTATATAGGGTGGGCTCCAGCTGGGCTCTGTAATTGCCCTGTTGTATGTTGTGTGTGAATTCAGAGCGAGTGTGTACTGCTGTTTATATCTGTGAGGACATCTGTGAAGCATTTCTTTGCTGGACTTTGATCCAGTCCAGTTTTGTAATGTTTCTTAAGTAACACATTCCTCTCCATTCCCACAGCCGCTAGTGACCCGCAAGAATGATCTGGACAAACGGAGAAAGGAGCTGAAAGAGCAGTGGCACAGGGAGCAGAAGAAAATGGTATGTTCAGATTTCTGCAGAACAATACGTCTCGTTCCTTTTGGGTCGAGGCTCAGATTTTGTAATACGACAGACATAAATAAGAAAGTGATGGCATGTGACCTCAGTTAACTCCTCATTCAAAAAAGTCGTCGAACCTGAATCTACATACTTCCCTCAAATTCATTAGTAAAGTAGGGTGTGTATTTAGCAACTTCTTTATTAGAATTTTCCATTCCACCTTAAATGGTGCAGCAGTTACATTCTGGCGCCATTTAAGGTGGAATGGAAAATTAAATAAATAGCTGCTGAATAGGAAGCCAACTTTAGCTTTAATATAATAATAATTCATAATTGATAGTGAGTAATTCATAGTAGATGCTGAATGATTCATAGTAGATACTGAATAAATTCGTAGTAGATACTTAATTATTTGTAGTAAGTTAAGGGTTAATTCTTAATAAGCACTGAAAAATATTTTGTAGTAGATGCTCAATAATTTTCAATTTGTAGCAGATACGGAGTAATTTGCTGTAAATTCTGAGTAATTCATAGGAAATACTCAATATTTCATAATATATACTGAATTATTTATAGTAGATACTGACTAATTTATCGTAGATGCTGAATAATTATAATAAATTCTAAATAATTCATAGTTAATGCTGAATAATAATTGATAGTAGATACTGAGTAATTTGTAGTAAATTCTGAATAATGTTTCATAGTAGATGCTGAATAATTCACAATAAATTCTAATTTCATAGTTAATACTGAAAAATAATTCATAGCCTCAGGCGCCAGAATGTAACTGCTGCACCATTTAAGGTGGAATGGAAAATTCATGTAAAAAGCTGCCAAAAATGAAGCCAACTTCAGCTTTTATGCCTCAAACTGTGTGTAATCTCTTGCTGAAGACACTAATCTGCCGTTCTTTACCGGTATGTGTTAGACTGAAGCAGAGGGCGCTGTCCGTAAAGCTCATCTGCTGCAGACTCAGCGGAGGGAGGAGTACGAAAAAGCCCGAAACTCCACCAGCCGCAGCGGGGAGGAGCAGCAGAGCGCAGGAGGAAAAGGCCTGGAGAAAAAGAGGAGGCTGGAGGAGGAGGCACTGCAGAAGGTACACACCTTCTTTTTTCATGGACGTGGCTTCTAACTCACTCACATTTATCAGACTGAAGATTCTCCACAAGGGGGAGCTGTTAGCATGGCAGTAGTTTCAGTGTGCATCATTGAAAGGGAGGAAACTGGCCATGCAGGATCTCACAAATGGACATGTTTGCAGGCTAAGATTGAGTGAAAACCTCACTGGTGTGTGAACGTAGCTGCCGCTGTTGCAGTACAACAACTACAGTATAAATGCTGATCTGTGATTGGCTCAGACCTGATTAAACCCCTCCCCCTGTGTTCTCTCTGTCCTGCAGGCGGAGGAAGCCCAGGAGCATTATAAAGCTTGTGTGGCCGATGCGGGAGCGAAGAGGCTGAACCTGGAGAACGCTAAGAGTGAAATCCTCACTCAGATCCGAGAACTCGTCTTTCAGTGCGACCTCACGCTCAAAGCAGTCAGTGTTTATTTAGCTTTTATTGTTTTGAGTTACATGAACCCAAAGTGTGGGTCAACATTCGGTTCCTCACTCTCATAAATACAGAACTTCAGAACTTCCAAAGTAAATACTGAATAATTTAGAGTAGATACTGAAGAACTAATAGTATCTGAGAAATAATTAATAGTTATTACGTAGTAATTCATAGTAGTTAATAATAATAATTCAGTGGATACTTAATTTATAGTATATACTGAATAATTAATTGTAGATCCTTACATTTAAAAGTAGAATATCTGAATATTTTGTAGTAAATACTGAATAATTTATAGTAGATACTAAATAATTCATAGACGTTAATAAGTGATTCATAGTAGATACTTAATTTGTAGTAAAGTAAGAATAATTCGTAATAAACACTGAATAATAATTCATAATAGATGCAGAATATTTTAAAGTAGATACTGAATAATGTGTAGTAAATTATGAATAATGCATAATAAACATTGAATAGTATTTCATTGTAGATACTCAATAATTTGTATTAGATAATGAACAATTTGTGGTTAATTCTGAGTAATTCATAATACTGAATAATTCAGAGTCGATGAATTATGAATTATTAGTAGTGAATTTTGACTAATTCGTAGTGAATACTAAATAATAATTTATAGTACGTCATAGTAGATACTACATTTATAGTAGATCTTGAAACTTTATACTAGATGCTGAATAATTCATAGCAGATCATGAATAATTTACAGTAGATACTGAATAATAGTAGCTACTGAATAATTCATGATAGTAGATGCTGAATAATTTGTAATAAATTCTAAATAACTCATAATAAATACTGAATTATAACTTATAGTAGATACTGAATCATTTTTAAATAAATTCTGAATAATTTATTGTTAAATACTGAATAAAAATTAATAGTGGATGCTGAATAATTCATAGTGGATACTGAATAATTCATAGTAGATACTGAATAATTTGTAGTAGATACTGAATAATTTGTAGTAGATACTGAATAATTCATAGTAGATACTGAATAATTCATAGTAGATACTGAATAATTTGTAGTAGATACTGAATAATTCGTAATAGATGCTGAATAATTTGTAGTAGATACTGAATAGTTCATAGTAGATACTGAATAATTTGTAGTAGATACTGAATAATTCATAGTAGATACTGAATAATTCATAGTAGATACTGAATAATTTGTAGTAGATACTGAATAATTTGTAGTGGATGCTGAATAATTCATTATCAGACACTGACCATCTGCTGTGTGTGTAGGTGACGGTGAACTGGTTCCAGCTGCTGCACGCTCAGACCGCTTCGTTGCCGGTGAAGTTTCAGGCTCTGTGCGATCAGGCGAAGCAGTATGAGCCGGGTCAGTGCTACTCCGAGTTCGTCCACAGTCTACCGAAAGAGCGCGTGTGGCTGGAGGCGCTCGCTCAGGACAGCACCGGACCCTCCAGGACAGGGTGAGCAAACACAGTCCACCTGCAGGACAGGGGTCAGGCCTGCTCTGCTCTACAGCTCAGCTGCTTTCATGATTTCACCCACTAAACATAACTAAATAAAGGGGAGAATTCAGCCCCTCCCCTGCGTGGTGATAAAAACAGTGTCTAAATCTCTATTAGACCTGATTATGTGGTTTCTGACGCTGAATGACTCACTTTTCTATAAACACAGACTAAAGAAACCTCATAACCAAGCGTGTTAGCGATTACTGAACTCCGCACGGTTTGAGGTGAGTGTGCAATGATTTAAGTTTTGCAGTTTTCCGTTGTAGATTTTTGGCTAATCTGTCGCTTTAAAATAGAAAAGAAACCTCCCCGTTTTTGAAGATACAAGCACACTTTTAGAACTCATTTCCTCTTTATGTTGTATGAATTAGCGCTGTAGTGGTTAGAGGAGCCATTGTGTGTGTCCTTCCTGAGGAAGTGATGAAAGCCCTGCAGTACCCGTTCAGATTGCTCTGTTTACTCGAGTGCTCGCGGCCAGCGGTTCACTTGACCTCCTTTCTACGCCGAGTCTTAAGGCCCGGTACACACACAGTTAAAATACCTGTACATTTAGTTCATTTTAATTTTAGCGTGATGTTTAACTCTAATGTTAGTGCTGTAGTAACAATCCTGTTTCATTGATAAGTTTTGTTTAGAAACTAAAGGGTTAAAGGATTAAATTCTTGAAACATCCAACAGAAAATGGTCCAATCAGGATTGTTCTCTCTGTGGTATCTAGGTTGATAAAGCCAAGATGCTCTCCCATTGGTTAGGACTTCAGGAGCTGGATTTACACGTTAGATTAACTATCAACATCTTTAGGAAGTGACAGAGGAACCAACCAATCACGTTCTGATATACAATTTACAATGGGTGGAACCAAAAAAAAAAGTCACTCTAGTCCCTTCTGGAGGTTCTAGATATGTCACTGACTGTGAATGCAAGTCGTTATCTCTTGTTAGGAATGTAAAACAGTGGCGGCAGCTCTGTGTCAGGATAAAAAAGAGTGACTGTAAAACTGATTCATACAACTATCATCAAGATCATCTACCAGCATAATTAGGAAGTGACAGAATTTAACCAATCACGCTCTGATTTACAGTTTACAATGTGGGTGAAACAAAAAAATGACACTCTAGTAGTTTGGGAGGTTCTAGATACATCACTAACTGTAAATAGGAGCCAAACAGGTTCTGGTTAGTTGTTAGGAATGGAACAGCAGCGGCAGCTCAGTGTCAGAACTCTTTACTGAAAGATCTAGATCATCTACCAGCATAATTAGGAAGTGACAGAGTAACCAACCAATCACACAGTCCCTGTGGAGATTGCAGATACAACAGACTTTGAATGAGTCATAAGGTGCGTTTCCGTCGCCCTCGTAGTTCCCCGCAGGGTACTGCACGGGTTAATCAGACATTTTAAGGGTGATTCCAAACCATGAGAAGTTAAAGGTTCCGTTGGATGGGAGCTTCAGACTGCCCAGAGCAGGGGTGTCAAACTCAACCACTAAAAGGGCCATATCAAAAAATCTCAATGAATCTGTGGGCCAGAGATCCCTTATAGTTTTATTAATTCTTTAGATTTTTCATTTTATTGTATTTTCATTTAACATTTTACTTTGACCCCAACTGGCCATTGCTTATTCAAAATATGCCAAAACAGCAAAATACAGGCACTTGTAGTAAACTTTGAAAAGTTACACAAATTCTGGTCAAAAATCATAATATATACTTTTTAAATGTCCTTTCTGCCTATTTGCTTGAACTGCACACCGCATCTTTTTTGTGCTGTAAACGCTGACCTATAGACTGTTGCTGAGGGAGGGGGGTCAGAGTCCACATTACATCACAGTGTATGCTGGGGATTGTAGTCCAGTGCACTTGACAAGAAGCGGCAGGAAAAAATACCCATCAGTCATTGCGTGTCTTTTGAAGATGCATATTTGATTATGATGCTGTAGGACAATCCGATTGAAGGCATTTATTAACTGCGGTTCCCTTAGCCGACATCTCGTGCTCAAATGTGTAAGGAATATTACAGCTGCTTAGGGACCCTTTGGAATGGAATGCAGTGTTCCGGTTAGTTGTTAGGAATGGAAAACAGTGGTGGCAGCTCTGTGTCCGAACTCTTTACTAAAAGAGTCACTGTATAACTGATACATACAGGCTCAGAAATATGATATTGACTGTTACATATAAAGCATATGGAACGACTTTTACAAGCTTTATATGTCTTAATCTGGAACGGGCAAAAAGTGTTTGTGTGCACCAGCGTTAGCTTAGTGCTAATATGCTAATAGAAATTCCCTAGGGGCGCTAGCAGAAATTAGTGTATTATTGTAGAGTTTTGACCCAGTTATGACATTTCTGATTCAAACTGAAGAACCAAATCTGACAGCTTTAGTTCACCACTGATAAACATACATGCATGTAATTCTTTGCATAGGAAACTTGGGTGAGATGAAGGCTCTATATAAACTAAACAAAAGCATTTCTTTTTCTGGGATCAAGTTGGGACGGAGAGAATTCACCAACAAAAATGTAGAGTTGCATTTAACAAAATGGCTGGGAAAACTATGAGTACAGTGCAAAAAATGTATCTTGCCAAGAGAAATGATCTAAAATCTTATCACTATATCTAATATTTCCCAGTTTGAGAGGGTTTTTACTTGTTTTAGGTAATTTTTTTTACAGTGTACAGCGGATTTTAATACTCAGCTTATGCAAAATGAAGTATTTGAGAAGAAACAGGAAACAGTTGTTAAAAATAAATGAGACGATGTGATAACTGTCTGTGTAAAAGAAGGCAAGGCAAGTTTATTTTTAGAGCACCTTTCATTCACTGCTGTCATTCAAAGTGCTTTACAAATGAGAAAATAGTCAGAAAATAGTTATTTAAAAAAAAAGTAAATGAGAATAGAAATTAAAAACATGAATAAAACATGAGTAAAACAATAGATTTAAAAGAGAAAATCATTAAATTAAAAATCATAGAAATTAAATTAAGAAACCTTTAAAAATTCTAATTCAAGTCAAGGCAAAGTTTATTTATGTAGCGCTTTTTACAACAGGTGTTGTCAGAACAACAGAAAAATCCAGGTCCGAGCCCCCATGAGTGTCGCCAGTGGCGACGGTGGCAAGGAAAAACTCCCTAAGAACAAGAGGAAGAAACACTGAGAGGAACCAAGACTCAGAAGGGGAACCCATCCTCCTCTGGTCGACACCGGACAGCAATTTTAATTAAAAACTAAAAGTTAGATTAGGATTAAAAAGTGCTGTCACAGAAGACGACTGCACAAATAATTTTCCTCAAAAACATGGCATAATTAAATGTCTCTTCCTCTGCTTACAGACTCTAACAGTGGTGTGGATCAAACGTTTAGAATCTGCAGTTTCCACCCAGCTTCTCCTCTCGTTTCGCTGAACTACGAGTCAGAAATAGTTCATATAAAACTGCCTCCTGTTTCTGTTACTGACGGTGATGAACTGAGTCCTCTGAGGCTGAAAGCTGACGTGTTCTGTGCGTCTGTTCTGCAGGATATCGTCGTACCATAAACGTTCTCTGAGCAGCACACACTCGTCTCACGGTTCCGGAGCGGTCGGAGACGGGCTCCCCGCCGACGAGCAGAACAGCCCCGCCCACCGCCGGGTCAACAAGATGGCCGACAAACGTTCCAGCAGCACTGCAGATATTCAAGGTAAAAACCTTTAACAAATATACAGCAGTTTCTTCTGACAGCACAATCTGATTGGCTGAGAAGCTTTTTGTGGTTGTTTGTGTATTATAACTGTATCAGTTCAATGAGCTCCAGTTGCTAAGCAACGACTCTCTTTGTGCTGCAGCCAAGGCTGAACGATGAATCGTTTTATATCAAAATCTCAATTTGAAAGAATTTTGAATGGCAAGAGCTGCAGTTTTGATTGAAAAGTACTTTATCAACAATGTTGTCTGAACAATGTTTATGTGAGAAAATGCCTAATAACACAGTTTAGTAACTGCTTATAGAGGAGTTAGACCACCCAGCAGCAACAAAACACAAAACGTGCTCTATTTGTGACACAGAAAGCACCCAAAATCCCAGATCTGACCCCGTTATCACAAGATACAAACAGAACTGAACGGGACCGGACCTTCTTCTGCTTTTATTCACACACAAGAAGCGCAAACGCAGACTGAGGATGAATGAGGTTAAAACACAGATCACAGTCAGAGCTGGAGAGTATTTACTGTGAACTGTCAGCTGAGTTAAAACTGTAAATAGTGATTATTTGCTTTGACTGGACAGGCAGCTCCTCTGTCTCTGCGATGGAGTGCACACACACCACTCCTCACCCATTTACCCTCTTCTGGCTCTCTGATTGGTTGTTGCTTGAATCACTTGTCCAGCTCCATCACTGACCGTCTCACTCTGCAGAACTCGTAGACGTTTTGAGTCATAGAAATCAAACGGTTGAAAATATCAGCGCTCGATCAGAAGTGATTGACGGTGCAGATGTTCTGGTAGTGTGAGAGGAAAACAAGTCACGGCTCTGTATAGGGCTGAACAATTTTGGGGAAATATCCAATTGCGATTTTTCTGATTAATATTAGGATTGCAAGTTAAATACAATTTTTTTTTTTCTGTGAATTAATTTCCAGGCCTGTTTTTTGGCCAAAAAGAGCAGCTTATATGCTGTTTTCTGTCATGAAGCCTGAACGCTGAGTGAGTCAGACTACCAATTAGTTGTTGTGATATCACATTTACAGAACAAGGGTGTTTTGTAGCTTCTGATTGATCTAACTCATCTACAGGCAGTTCACCAGTTCTGTTTTATTAGGTTCAATTTCCCCATTTAAAACTTAAGACAACTTTGTTGATAGTTTTCTATTAAAAAAAAAATGCAGCTCTTGTGATTTGTAAATTGCACTCTTTCAAATTGCGATTTCGTCTTTCAGCCCTAGCTCTGTAAGAGTAAAGGGTTCTACTCTCTGTGGTGGGAGGAACTGCCGATATCAAAGCTGATTTATTACAGTGTTCAGTGCTTCTCTGCTTCACTGTGTTCTTTATTTAGCAGAACTGTTAGATTAAAGCAGTAGAATAGTGTTCAGTAGGACCTTCATTCACCCCAGCACACGGCCTCTAGTCTATATACGCACATACAGATCACCAAGTGCTTTTAACTCCCTCTGTTATCTTATTCTGCAGTAAACTAGTGGCTAATTATAATTATAATAATAATTCGGCTGCTAACAATAATAACTTTTCTATCTGTTAATCTATCGACTATTTTACGAAGTCGATTAATCAAAATGAGTAATTTTCCTTCAAAAAATCAAACTGACCATTTAATAAGCTATTTTTAAACTGTATATCAATGTCATGCAGCACAAGATTCTGTCCTAAACACAAGATTCTGGCCTAAACACAAGATTCTGGCCTAAACATTTTCCTCAAACACTCATTGAATGGAAGTTCTAAGGTAGCAGACAGGCGGCTTTATGGCTGTAATATTGAGTGTGTTTAGCAGCTACAGGGACAACCGATTTTAGAAAGCTCTCCCTGGTAATGTAATTTAATGAACATGAATACACAAACACTTTCTTTTTTTGCCTTTTCTGGTGGTCCCGTCATCCAGAACAGCACCTGTGTTTTCCATTCAGGTGCTCGAGCATCACGCTAGTGCTGCTGTGATTCGCCATCAAAACTCTGCACCGTGTACAAACCACCTTTTTGTTTTGTGCTAATCTGAAGTGTTCCCAGACTTTCGATGCCTCAGGTCTGTGGGAACTTTTAGAAACCTCCTTCACAGCCGCCCAGATTTTAAAATTGTACCGTTGAATGAAGCCAGAAGCGACTGATGCATCGCGCACGCAGCAGTTACGTAGTGATTTTGAGGAAAAGCTTTTATTTGAACTGAAGCTTTTTAAAACATCACAAAAGGCAAATTCATAAATATAATTATTAACAAATTCAAATATTACATTTTCAGCATCAGAGTCATCGATTACGTCGACTAATCCCAGCAGCCTTAATAATATTTAATCATTATTAGTAGTAGTATTTTGGTTTGTGTAGCACCTGGTTTAAAAACAGTTTACATTGTGCTTTTGAGGAAGATTAAATAAAAAGAGAATAAAAGTTATCAAAGACAAATCAAATTAAAATGCAAAAATACCCAAACAAACAGAACACAAAGCAGGGAGTATAACTGATATATAAGGACAGTAAAATTTGCCTGGAAATGAAAGATATAATTCTTTAATGACTCCTGTTTTATTGCACTGTTAAATTAGTGCAGAGTACAAAGCAAAAGACCATGAAAGCTGCTCTTCTCTCCGCCCAGCAGGTCTTTATCTGTTACAGGTGATCAGGTTTAAGGACTGACCTGTTAACAGTTTAAATACCTCAGCGTTCCGACTGTAGGACTCCAGCCAGAGCTCCTGGGTTTAGGCCAGGTCCAGCTCAGCCTCGCGCTCAGGTCACTACAGGTCGTCACAGGTTTTCACAGGTCATCAGCCTGCTGGATTAAACCTGAGCTGACCTAAAAGCATGAGGTCAGAACTTACATTACTAAGCCAGCTCAGCCAAAAGTAAATGAGGAGAGCAGTGCAGGGTGGTGGATTTGGGGTTAAACTGACCATGAGGTGCTGAGCTGTTGAACTGGTCAGCATTAGATCCTGTTTGGCTCATTTAATTGTAGAAAAATACTTCAGCATAAAAAAGAGTGATGATTAAACTGAATTAGTTTAGCTGGGTTACTTCTGTACTTTAAGAGATTATAGACAAAATCTGAGATTTAATCCAGTCTGAATCTGCGGTGTGTCCTTTTCACGCTCTGACAGTAATAATCAGAAACTTATATTAAAGGAGAGTTGCACCAAATTTTCAAAATTTCTCCATAATTCAGTGTGAAACAGAGAGATTCAGAGTGGTTTGGCGTGAAATGGTTCAGATGTCTTTACAGTGGTGGTGATAGGAACCAGGGGTCGCCATGACTACAACACAAATATAGACATTTTATTTACTATCCAGAACCACCAGTGAACCTACACGAGTCTTCTGAGTCTATATGGAATGTTGATGATGGAAAATAGTGGAAAATCTGAAATAATAAGTTTTCTTTGGGGACTATTTTGCCTCACAGCGCCCTGCATGTATCCCTCCACCATGAATGGAGTTTAAGTTCTCTAAACTATCATAAAACAGTGTCTCAGTCATCAGGCAGTGAATTCATAACCATTTCATGTAGGAACTTTCTGTGAGGGAGCTTTCAGAGGGGGACGTCTGGTTCCTATCACCACCACTGTGAACAATTCTGACTCGGTAAGTTTCTTTAGAACAGAGCGTTTCACACCAAACCACTCTGAACGACTTTGTTCACATCTTAACCAGTTAATTATGCAGAAATTTTGAAAAGTCCCCCTTATATCTAGTATGAATCTGCGGTGTATGGTTGCTAAGGTGTTGCTGGGCCATCGCTATGGTATCCCAGGTGGTTGCTAAGGTGTTGTTAGGCCATTGCTATGGTTTTCCAGGTGGTTGCTAAGGTGTTACTGGGCCATCGCTGTGGTTTTCCAGGTGGTTACGACGGTGTTGCTAGGCCGTTGCTATGCTACCCTAGGTGGTTGCTAATATGTACGTAAGTGTGTGTACATACAGACACACACACACACACACACACACACACACACATATATATATATATATATATATACATATATATATTAGTGTGTGTGTGTGTGTGTTGTGCTCAGCATTGTGCTTTTCATTTCCTCGTGTGATTGATCCCAAAAGTACCAGTGTGCTGTTCCTGTGTAGTTTCCATTAAGTAGTATTAGGCCTGGAGGGCTGTGAGTGGAGTATCACTGAAGAGCTTGTTTGGAGTGGATGAATTTTTGTGGTGTGGCAAACATCCAGCATTCACCTCCATTTCAGTCAACAATGCATCAGATCAGACGTATCAGCTCAGAGACTCATTCCAAACATTTGATTTTTTCCTGCTCTTCCGTGTCTGTAACATGTTTAAGCAACGTTAATGAACCAGGAGAGATGGGCGGTCGCTGGAGGCTCCTGAAGAACTTCCTTAAAACTAAAACAGAAAACAAAAACGGGCTGTGTGTAACGTTACCGTCCTCTGAGGCCTCTTTACACAGGAATCAAAGGTTTGAGGGCTTTTTATTCAGATGTTTGATCAGTAAGCTGGAAATGTGACTTTAATAGAAACATAAACACATTTTTATTAAATACTTTATACACTTACATGTAATAAGCCTGCGCTTAGAAAACAAGCAACAATTGTTGTAACAATAGCAAAAGGTTCTTTAAAGGTTCTTTAAATTACCCACATCATTGAAAAACCTGACTTTGTTAAAGTACTGTTCACCTCCCAGTACATACAGTCCATATATGGAAACTAAATACAGTCTGTTTTTGTGATGTCACAAAATCAACACATTTGCATATATCTGCCTAGTCAGCAGAGAGTTCAGCCCCGCCCATTCACGCCGAAGTTATGAAAAGAGTTTCAGCCTGGACTGCTGTCTGAATGAGACACAATACAGGACAGCCAATCAGAACAGAGATCGTTTAATTGTAAGGGATAAAGAGTCACGTAAAAATTAATTATGACTGTTTTTGGTGCATAAAACCACACAAACTGGACACCAGGAAAAAAATAGAATATTAATATATAGGATATGGGCCGTTTAAGGAACCTCTGGGTTCTAAAATAAACCATGGGCTCATTCTCCAACATCTTTCTAAGTCTGTTCTGAAGTGTGTTCTTCATAAAGGTCCTAAGAAAAAGTCTCCGTCAGATTCATGACGTGTTCTTAAAGCGCAGAACTGTTCTCACCTTTGTGCTCTTGAGTGTGTGTAGATTCTGTTCTTACCTCAGAACAAACCCCACCTAAGAGAACTTTGGTGAGTCAGAGTCTTCGTCAGAACTGTGTGAGGGGGTTTAAAGAAGGAATTTCTTCTTAAGAACAGCTGGAGAACGAGGCCCAATGTGTTCTTAATTAATTTTACTTAGATTTTCATTTCAGGCCTCTGGTTCTCCTCAAGAAGCCTTTTTAAAGAGGAACTGTGTTTGGGTTACGGTGTCGATTTGAAATTGAAAGAAATGCTTGTGAGCAGGAAGAGTGAACTCAGCCGTCACAGCCGTATGACACAACCCAAAAACGAAACCCCAGCCGTAGAAATCCGCGCCGTCTTCCACTTCAGACAGTAAACAGGAAGTGAAAGCAGCGTTAGGCGGCGTGTGAGCGACGTCAAACCCACTTCAACCGTTAAACAGCTTTATCACTGGTTCATCTGAGAAATGAGCTGAAAAAAAGAAAAAAAAGTACCAAAACTGTGCCCTAAGCTGACACCAGCCCACAGTGGTTTAAAGGGCAATTACACCTATTTGCCAAAATTCCTGCATAATTAACTGGTTAAGATGTAATCAGAGTGGTTCAGAGCGGTTCAGAGAGGTTCAGAGTGGTTTGGTGTGAAACGCTCTGTTCTAGATAAACTTACCGAGTCAGAACTGTTCACAGTGGTGGTGATAGGAACCAGACGTCCACCTCTAAAAGCTCCCTCACAGAAAGTTCCTACATGAAATGGTTATGAATTCACTGCCTGATGACTGAGACACTGTTTTATGATAGTTTGGAGAACTTAAACTCCATTCATGGTGGAGGGATACATGCAGGGCGCTGTGAGGCAAAATAGTCCCCAAAGAAAACTTATTATTTCAGATTTTCCACTATTTTCCATCATCAACATTCCATATAAACTCAGAAGACTCGTGTAGGTTCACTGGTGGTTCTGGATAGTAAATAAAATGTCTATATTTGTGTTGTAGTCATGGCGACCCCTGGTGAATTTTTGATTACATCTGATTTACATTATGTTTCATTTATTTCAGTTATTTGAATACATAATTAGTTATGTAATGAATTACATGTACTGATGTGTGTGAGTCTGTTTCATTGTCGAATGACCCTGTAATTGAATGTTTGACGGTAATTTGTGTATGTGTGTGTTGTGCAGGTGTGAAGCCACAGTGCCCCCCTCAGGCGTGGAGCAGCACTGGCTCTGTGGGGGGAGGAGGGGTGGGCAGTGACTCTGAGAGTGCTGGAGGCAGCAGTGAGACTCGCTCTGTAGACTCTCCTACAGCCAGTCCAGGTAACATCAACATTAACGTGTGCTTGTTTTTATATATATCATCACGGTCGCGCCCAATTTTGCTGTTTTTAACTTTCTCAGCATGTTAGCACTAAGCTACCCGGTTTTCATGTTTTTGTGGTTCTAGATTAAACCTGGATGTTTAAAGCTTGTAAAGGTAATTCTATATGTTGTATCTGATGCTTGTATCAGTCATTATCATATATCTGAGCTTGTGTGTATCAGTGTTACAGTGACTCTTTCAGTAAAGAGTTCTGCATAGAGCTGCCGCTGCTGTTTAACGTTCCTAACAACTAGCTGGAACACTGCTTAGCTCCTATTCAGAGTCAGTTATGTATCGAGAACCTCCAGAAGGACTAGCGTGACATTTTTTGGTTTCACCCACTTTGTAAAGTGTACATTAGAGCATGATTGGTTGATTCTTCTGTCGCTTCCTAATGATGTTGGTGATTAATCTGATGTGTAAGGCCTTCAGTCCAGCTCCTGAAGTCCTAACCAATGGGAGAGCAGCTCAGCTGTGTCTGCCTACATACCACAGAGAGAACCATCCTCATTGGGCAGTTTTCTTCTTTTGAACTGTTTTGTTTCCAACCAAAACTTATCACTGAAATAAGAGTATTATCACAATACTTTCAAAATGTAAATAAAGCAGGCGTGATGATTCTATTAAATAAGAATGAACTAAATATTACAGATGTGTTTTTTATCTAACAGAAATCCCTGAGGCCTCCTCTGAAGTTCTAGAAGGCTCTGATGGTTCCTCTCTGAATAGCACAGATAATATGTATGTGTAATGAGTGTTTTTGTGTTGTTGTAGGTGATTTTAAACGTAGGCTTCCCAGAACCCCCTCCACTGGCACCATGTCGTCTGCAGATGATCTAGATGAGAGAGAACCTCCTTCACCTTCAGACAACGGTGGGTCACTGCTGAGTCATTACAGCACATTAAAGCAAGAGAAAATTCCACCCTGACTCTAAATGTAGTCGCTCAGTGATGGTTGCTCAACCTCATGAGTCCAAACCGTGTTAATTTATTATATTTATTTATTTATAATCTAACAGACTGAAGACTAAAAGCTTCTTTTCAGCATGATCTGTGATGTTTTCACATCAGTGATTCTGCTCTCCTGCACTCTTAAATTGTTAAGCTCTTCAAGTGTTCTCTAGTAAAGGGAATGATCTGCTTAGAGTTCTGAGTTCTGTATAGAACTGTTTGCATGCTTAATTGGTTCTTTGCATGGTGTAATGATTCTTCAGGTCGATGGAGAAAGTGTTGTATATGGTTCTATACAGCACCAAAAAGGATCCTGCCATTGTTACAAGCTTGGCATCATAACAAGGCAGAACCCTTTTTGGTGCTATGAAGAACATTTTCCAAATTTTGTTATATAGCAACAAACCATATACAACATGTTCTCCTTGAGCAAAGAACCAGTTTAGTATTAAATAAACTCAATGTTCTAAACAGAACCATTGTCTTTACTAAATAACCCTTGAAGAACCATCTTGTTTAAGAATGTATGAGCTGCCTGTACTGAGTAACTCTGTGTACATTATCAGCCAAAAAAAAGGTTCTAAAGAGCGTAACAATAACAGCGTGTAAAGGGCAGCTGAAAGACAGGAACTGTTTCACTGAGGAACTGAGCCAACATCAACACTCAACTGCAAAAACACTACGGTTCCACACCTGCAGCACAGCGGGACAGATATTACTGTACAGATATGAAAAGAGTTGAAAATGCATCCAGGAATAATTCAGTAAAACATTGTTTTCTCGGAACTGTCGCTTTAACTGATCTTTCTGGGTTCCTCCAGGTCTGGGTGAGATGATCATGGAGGCGGCGAGTTCCCCCGGACCGTTCCGGAACGCTCAGATGTCCAAAGCAGCGCACACGCACAAGCTGAGGAAACTGCGAGCCCCGTCCAAATGCAGAGAGTGCGACAGCCTGGTGGTGTTCCATGGAGCCGAGTGCGAGGAGGTACAGCATCATCGTTTTAAAAAAGTTTTTAAAATTTTAAAAAGTAGTCTTTGCTCAAATGAGTTCCTAAATGAAAATCAGGTTTCAGATCAGGTCATAGTACTAAAACAGCGTTGCTGAAGATAGTTAAGAGTCAACGCTGATAAAAACAGTGTTTCTGTCCTTGTACTTTTAGATTTAAGTGCAGCGTTTGATACAGTAGACTGTGATATTATTATGAACCGTTTTGAAAATTCGGTGGGCCTTTCTGGAACTGTCTTAAAATGGTTTTGTATACATCTTAAAGGTAGAAAGTACTTTTAGTCTAGCTGAGCATCGCTCCAATGACTATGACATACTTAATGGTGTTCCACAGGGTTCAGTATTAGGCCCACTTCTTTTTTTCTTTGTACATGCTTCTATTAGGACACTGTATTAAAAAGGATGGAGTCATTTATCACAGCTATGCCAATGATACAGAATCATATATTTCCGTAGATCCAAATGATACGATGAAGTGTTCTAAATAAACGAACAACGTTTTTGTCCAATATCATTAACTGGATGAGTATTTACTTTTTAAAATTAAATGAAGAAAAAACAGAAATGTTCATTATTGGTAACAAAGCATGGAGAACACAAGTTTTAAATCAGGGAGGAAGTCTTCTCCTCGATTTAGTCGTCTACAGATTGTTCTGTGTAGTACCAAAAAGGGTTCTTCCATTGTTACAAGCTTGACATCGTAACGATAGAAGAACTCTTTTTGGTGTTATATAGGTTCTATATAGAGCCATCAATCTGAAGAGCCCTTTCATGATTCAGAGAACCTTTTAATCATGCAAAGGGCTCTTTGAATGTTTGTGATTCTTTATAGATGATTTTCTTTACGAAAGAAAACTTGAACAGTCTTTTTTAAGAGTGTAGGATAATGCTAACTCCAAAAGACTGGCTGTTCCTTTGTGTCTGCTGCCTCGAAGTGTAGTGGTGTACTACTTTAAATAAAGAGAACTAGACAGCGGGAGGTGATTGAGGGTCTGCTGCACTTTCATTTTCATTTATAACGTAAGCGAAACACCCCTGACTCAGACGCTCCGCTGAATGGGGTAACGTTAGCGTCTGTTTGTACGTTGTGTTATCTGCGCTTATCTGTGGTATGTCGTTATGATGGTTTTGACAAGACTTGCAGCTGAGGAAGAATTTTACCCACACTAAGGTAACTGATGTCACCTTTCCGCTTGTCTGTTCTTCAGTGTTCTTTGGCGTGCCATAAGAAGTGTTTGGAGACTCTGGCCATTCAGTGCGGTCATAAGAAGCTGCAGGGCAGGCTGCACCTGTTCGGGATTGATTTCGCTCAGGCAGCGAAGAACAGCCCTGACGGAATCCCCTTCATCATCAAAAAGTGCACCTCGGAGATCGAGAGCCGCGCGCTCAACATCAAGGTAAACATTCAGACGGCCTAGTGTGGAGAAAACTGTCCTGAAGTGATAACTGTGTTCTTAAAGGGGAACTCCACTGATTTTTCAAAATTCCAGCGTAATTAAGAGGTTAAGATGTAATCAGAGAGGTTCAGAGTGGTTTGGTGTGAAACGCTCTGTTCTAGAGAAACTTACTGAGTCAGAACTGTTCACAGTGGTGGTGATAGGAACCAGACGTCCACCTCTAAAAGCTCCCTCACAGAAAGTTCCTACATGAAATGGTTCTGAATTCACTGCCTGATGACTGAGACACTGTTTTATGATAGTTTAGAGAACTTAAACTCCATTCATGGTGGAGGGATACATGCATATTATTTCAGATTTTCCACTATTTTCCATCATCGACATTCCATATAAACTCAGAAGACTCGTGTAGGTTCACTGGTGGTTCTGGATAGTAAATAAAATGTCTATATTTGTGTTGTAGTCATGGCGACCCCTGGTTCCTATCACCACCACTGTAAATACATCTTAACCATTTCACACCAAACCACTCTGAATCTCTCTGATTACACCTCACACATTGAATTATGTTGGAATTTTCAAAAAAGTGGTGGAATTACCCTTTATAGATAATATGTTTTTCTTATGGAAAGCGCACATTAAGAAAGCACGACCACCTTAGAGCAGAAATGACAAAAAATAAAATCAGTCTGTAATTTACAGTATATTATAAACACGGTGGTGAGTCAGTAGTGTGACATGGTTCTTCATTGTTTTAAAACAAATCATTTCATTTGTTGTTCACAGCACAGTGTGATTGGTGTGAAGCTCATTTGCATATTACAGACGACATGGCGATAACGATGTGAAATGAAATGAAAAGCATGTTTATTGTGTTTAACTGAGCTGTGTTGAATGTTCAGGGTATTTACCGAGTGAACGGAGCGAAGTCTCGTGTGGAGAAGCTGTGTCAGGCTTTTGAGAACGGCAAAGACCTGGTGGAGCTGTCTGACCTGTACCCTCACGACATCAGCAACGTCCTCAAACTCTACCTGAGACAGGTGAGCTCCCTCTTACTCAGACAGGACAGTTAGGACACGGTTTGATGCGGCATGTAGTCACTGTGTGTGATGTGAGTGGAGCAGCAGACGTTTCCACTCTTCGCTCGAAGTGTTTCTGTACTCACTCCGCTCCGGGTTTTCTGTTTCCAATTTCACTCTCACATGTCGGACAAACCGCTCTGCATCCGCCCCACATGATCCATTCTTATGATATTTATTTAATGTCTTATTATGTAATTTATGGCCATTGTTGAATAAAAAAAATTAGTTAGTCATTCTGAGCTACACAGGCCTATTTCAGAAGGTTTAGGCTTCAACTAAAGAGATCGTGAGAATTAAAGGACTGTCTGTCTCGCGGGACGGAGTGACACTGGAGCAGTTTCAGAGCAAGAGAGACCACTGACGCTCTGACACTCGCAAATCACATCACTCCGCTCACACGCTCTGATAAACACTTGCCACATTTACATGCAGCTTAATAATCCGACTAATAGCTCAATTGGAATAGAACACGTCCATGTAAACACCTCAGTCGGAATAGTCTAGTCCGATTGAGGCCATTCGCAATACAGTTTCTATCCGACTGATCGAGGTGGGTAATCCTGTAAATAATCCGTTAAATAGAAGAATAATATCCGTGTAAACGCCTGTATCTGATTACATTCCCTATCTGAAAGTTTAAGTCCGTTCTGATCGTGTTCGTCACGTCATAGTGAAAGGTTATACCGGTCAACATGGCGGAGCAGAAACTGGTCTGCAGAGGAGACGAAGTTTATGCTCTGGTCTTTAAAAGACGGCGGTGGGACGGACGTCCAGCTTATGTGTCTCAGAACACGACGTCTTCCTCTCGGCCTTCTTTAATAAGGACATGTGAAGGACGTTTTCCTGAGTCTGACATCATTTTAAAGCAGTTAAAAACACGAGCGCTGCTCACTGCTGCTCATCTCACTCTGACTGGACTCACGGGATGCTGGTCATCATGGTAACGTTTACTCTAAGTGGTTCTCCATGCATGCACGTCATTTTGGATCAGATTACTTTAAGTGCGCATGTAAACGAAGATTTTCTATCAGATTGTTGAGTAGAGTGAGAATAAACACCTCAGTCTGAATCTGTAATCGGAATGTATTCAGTCGGATTGGTAAATGTATTTGCATGTGAACACAGACAGTGTTAGTTTCAAAATGCACCGTTTACTCTCCCCATATATGGAAACTAAACTACAACAGCCTGTTTTGAATTGACTGCTTTTGTGATGTCACAAAATCAGTGCATTCACACATTTCTGCCCATTCAGCCTCCATCAGAACAGAACTCATTTACACACATCGGTCTTGTAAGATCGTGTAAAAATTATTAAAGTATTAAGATTAATCAAATTTATTTTAAAAATATTAATTGTGTCTATTTTTGATATATAAGACCAAACAAACATCTTCATATGTTCATTTATTTCATTTATTCATTATTTTAGTTTATTTGTTTATGTAACAGAGACAATACAGATAAACATTGTTACATAGAATGCAGAATGTGTAGTGTGTTCAGGGCATCATCAGAACTTTATCAGAACTCAGCAAATCATGTTTTTCTTGAATTTCACAGTGGTGCCGACTCGTTGGTTTCTGATCTATAACTATAACTAAAGCCTGATTATATAACGACAATGTAGATTTAGTTACTGATTGAGAAATTTGACCCCAGACAATCACACAGTTAGACGTATGTGATAAAATCGTAAGCATGTCTTGGTCAGTTTCTTTATGTGAGCATTATATTTTATTCATGTCACTCCTAAATATCTGAGCTCATTAACTTCCTCAGTTTTCTTTTTGGTCGACATGTATTAAAAATTCTTTGTGTTCTGAAGGAAAAATTTAGGATTTGTAGGGGAAGTTTGCAAAAGGTGCTGTATAAATAGAGTGTATTGTTATAAATAGAATGTATTGATATCATTTATTACTGCGAGACAAGTTAGCTGCACCGTCTTATATATTGTGTTCACGTGTGAGATTACAGTGATCTTGTATTTGTGTGTTTCGCAGCTGCCGGAGCCGCTGATTCTGTATCGCTATTATAATGAGTTCATCGGTTTGGCGAAGGAGGCGCAGAGCGTGCTGGTGGAGGAGGCGGAGTCTGCTCAGAGCCGGCCCCCGGGGGAGGAGCCAGGCCTCAGCATCGACCTGAACAGAACCATCTTCAAAATTCGAGACCTTCTCTGCCAGCTGCCCCCAGCACACTACAGAACTCTCCACTTCCTCATAGCACACCTGCACAGGTACATTCACCACCTCACAGTGCATCTACAGCCAGCGATGGAGAAGGTTTGAATGGTTTTAAATGCATCAGTGTTTCTCAGCCTGTGGGCCGCAGTGGCACTGCTTGGGGGCTGCAGCCTTTTTTTTAAACCACAAATTTTAACCAAATGTTTTAAATATGACAAATTTTTAAATAATATTTAGTTGGACCACATTTATTAGTCTGGCGAAATGCCAGCTATGGTTACATTTTCAGAGCAAGTTAAACAAACTAATCCTGTTACTGGCAAAAGTTTACAAATATCAAACAGAGCGTGAGTAAAATGATGTTGCATTTTTGCAATTCAGTAGATCACGTTTGGTGCATTATCAGTTACACACGTGATTTAATTAATTTACCGTCACGCGAAAGTACTGCACGAGTAAATCATGCTCGGTGTGTAAAGGCCTTTATCATGAGGAAACGTTTAACAGGAGCGAACAGGGAATGTTTACCAAAAGAAAAAATGGTGTGATTTATTATTATTTCATCCTCAGATTTTTGGTCTTTGCTCGTTTTCTGTGAAGAACATATAAAATAACCCATTTTCAGTGTCTTCACTCTGTTCACCCCCCACACATTTATATTACACGTGGTGTTGGGTGAACCTGCGGGGAGTAAAAGTGTGGAGGTGCTGTGTCCTTCACTCTGTTCTCCTCCTACATGGCCTGCTGTTAGTCTGTGTGTGTGTGTGTGTGTGTGTGAGTGTGAGTGTCTGTGTGTGTGTGAGAGAGGGTGGACAACATGGACAGGCTGCTGACTGGCTACAGCTGCTAAAGGAGAACCCTACACTGGACACTTGTGATATTTTAAACATCTGGTATTTTTACATAAATGATTATGGCTGCATTGATTTTAATAAACAGTAATGCGGTGGGTCCAGCAGACCACTGAGTAACACACACATCAACACCACACAAGGGGTTAAATAAAGCTTTTATGCCGAACAAACAAATTGATGACTAAATATGCATCTAAACCTGCTGAACTGAGCCAGAGCTCCTTTCACAACTTTGGCTTCTTCAGCATCTCATCCAGCACTTTGTAGCTGCCAAACAACCTCAGCTGAGTTAGGAAGTGTTCGGTTATTTTTTAGTGTTTATCGTGTTGCGTTATGTTGTAAAATCAAGCAAAACTACAAGCTACACTGATTTAATGTATCTGTTAGCACTTAAAATGATCTGTGTGGTGAAATCTTGTGATCTTCTGTGTTCGGTTCTGTGGGCCTTGAGTTAGACAAGGTTGGGAACCCCTGGTTTAGAACCTTCAGTATCATAAACAGTGCAGTGTTCTTCAGTGCTTCTTACAGTTTCACTGTTTACAGAGTGACGGAGCGAGCGGAGGAGAATAAAATGACGGCCAGTAACCTGGGCATCATCTTCGGGCCGACGCTGATAAAGCCGCGGCAATTGGAGGCGGAGGTGTCGCTCTCCTCCCTGGTGGACTATCCCTACCAGGCCCTGATGGTGGAGCTGTTCATCACTCACCAGAACAAGATCTTCGACGTTCCTCTGAGCCCCGTCGCTCCTTTAAACGCTCCAGCACCGCACGGCTCTCCGTCACCATACACCCGCGACAAGGACAGGCTCAGCCGCCACTCCAGATCTCTACTGGACATCAAAGAGGTCAGTCTGACTGAGTCCTGATCTGAAGGATCACTTCCAGGTTCACTGTTCTGATTTCACTGCTGTAATTCTGTCTCATTGCCCAAAGGAGAGAGTCATGGGGTCAGGACTCTGGAGCTTTGTAGAGCTTTAAACTCTCAGATCATTAGGAACTGGTCAGTCAGTCCTGCTGAAGGTGAAGGCTAAACATGGAGAAGCAGCGTTTAGATACTCTGCTGCTTTTAAATGGACGCAGTGGACAGAGAGCATTAGAAGAGCCCCGACACTGGACACTTTAAATCAGCCTGAAAACGATCCCGTTTGAGCAGCTTTCAGCTCAGTTTAAACACTGTTAGCTCTGCTGCTCTTCACTCCTCTAACGCCGCTCTATTATCATCATTTCCGCTTTAATCTGATTTTTAATTTAATGATTTATTTCCTCTCTTTTAAAATCTTTTGTTTTAATCGTTTTAATTTCCATCCTCCTTTACTTTGTTACTTTTTACATTTTAATCTTAATTATCTTTGTATTTTCTCATTTTTAAAGTATTTTGAATGACTGCAGTGTCTGAAAGGTGCTCTTTAAATAAAGTTCCAGTCTCTTTTGACAATAACATAACAAACAATCTCAAATAACATCAAACAAACAAATAATTTCTGTTGTAGTAACTCCGGACACACACTCACTAACTGTTTTGAATACAGAGCTAAATGAGAGTCAGTATTTGCATCGATAATTATTCATGCGGACTAAAAATAAAGGAAACGAGGCTCAGCTTTGACACTCAGCCTCAAAATAACTTTAAAAATAAAAGAAAGTAAATTCCCCGGTCCCAGAGAGCTGGGGGTCAGATGATAACTGAATTGTGAAATGTCCGGAGTCTGACAGGAGAGGGTAAAAAGCGGGTAGGTTTTTAGTGTATTTGTTTAAATGTTTGTTTATTTTGTTTCTAGCAGAGCTCTAAAGCATATAAGAGACACTCCTCCGTCATCCCCTCCTCACATTTGCTGGACGAAGTGAAGGATGTGAAACCGGGAGACACAAAAGAGGGAAAAGAGGACACAACACAAGGTCAGTATGAATGTATGAGACTTTTTCTGTTGTTGTTTTTATTTTATGAAATTGTTCCCACTTACTTGAAATATAATCAGTCAAGTAGCTACATTAGCGCCATAGCTCCAGTGTTAAAACAAAAGATGCAAGTTTGGAGTAGGAGGAGGAGCTGGGAGTTTGTTTTTTTTCCCATACTATGACTTTAAACCATGTATGTCAAGCTATGGGGCCAAAAAAAGGCTTCATGTGCTCATTTTCAGTCTACTAGAATAGATTTAGCTTCAGTGTTTCAGAAACACATGAATTTATAGTACTGTTTCCACTGATACTGTGACTAATACTGTTAATATTATTATTAAGAATTTAGTAAGAATACATAAAAGTATGGGACGCCTTTTCTCCTGCATTTCATTTCAACTGGCCCCTCTGTAGGAGAACAGTGTCCCCCGTTTAATCTGAGTCCTGCTTTAAACAGTGTGTTACGATGGACTAAATCAGTGTGTTTTGTCTTCCCCTCTCTGCAGCAGCTGATTGTACTGATGGCCTGAACGGTGTTGGTTCAGCAGCAGAGGTGCAGAGGTCCACGCTGGTTTTTGGCCGGCCCAGCACGACCAGTGGTCTGGTGCAGCTCCGCCCACACCGCTCTCGCTATGTCTCTCGACCAGTCAGCATGCCCGTGGACCGGCTGCTGAATGAGCGCAACAGACAGAACTCCGTGGAGCGGGAGAGCGTTCCAGCCGTCATCCAGGAGGTTGCGGAGCCAGAGAAATCGGACGGGCGCTACAGGAGCCCCTTCATTCACACACACACGCTGCGGCGCACCTGGGACAAGCAGTACAGGCACTACGACGTCACGCCCCGGACCGCCATGATAGTGGCCAACCTGCCTCCATCTGGAATGACGGAAAAAACCAAACCGGCCACCGGAGCTGAGCCCGCTTCTGGTTCGAGCGCCGTTAGCGCGGCATCCCAAAGCAGCCCGTATACGGTCAGCAATACGGTCACCATCCGGCCTTTTAGAACCTCCTGGAAGGACAGCAGTAGCGCTCAGAGCGGAGAGGGACCGATCGCTTTCAGAGCGCCAAGGACGCTTCAGCCACCGCCCGGAACTTTCTACAAACCGCCCACAGCCTCGCGCGCCAGGCCAGCGGACGGGGAGAAAAGTGCTACGTCCTCTACTACAGCATCCGTTACCACGGCGATGGATTTGCGGACAGTTACCGCTTCCTCTACTCCAGCATCTGTTACTATAGCAACAGTTACTGCAGCATCGTCTGTTACCACAGCAACAGTTGTCACGATGGTTTCCGTGACGATGGGAGCACCAGTGGCCACATTGGCGGTTTCTACGACAACAGCTACAGCTGTAGCCACGCCCGCTGTCGCGACAGTACCACTGTGTAAGGCATCGGAAGCATCAGAGGACTCTCGGTCAGAGAGCGGCTCGGTTGGGTCGGACGCGGTCAGTTTATCGGCTTTTTCTCCCCCCCAGTCTCCGTCCTCCACCCCCGAGGACCTGAGCCCCACCGACGGCAAACCCGCGTACCAGAGACTGCGGAGCAGCCGCCGCCTAATACCGAATGAGCTGGAACGCAGGGAGGCTCACTTCGTATAAAAACTGCCATCAGCTCGGACAAATCGCAGATTTTATTCTTTGGGGTGGGGGGGGGGTGTGGGGTGGGGTGGTCTGGTCCTGGAGGGCCCCAGCCGGGGTGGACGATACGGCGAAAATAGAACAAAACAATACTTTAAGACATGTTAACAATACATGATACCATGACATATAATTTTTCTTATTTATTAAGGAACATGATGAAAATTCCAATAATTGGTAAAACTAAATTAATGAAATAAGATGCCATAACGAGCTGCCGTCCAATCAGCTACTTGTTACTAAGCAGTTTATGCAGTTACTGTACACTGGTTGTTGTTGTTTACAGGTTTATTGGTATAAATCTCTTATTATCCATGCAGATACATGTAGTCGAGTACTCAAATTAAAAATGCATATTATATATAATCAGATAAACAAACCAAGCTGTCCTTACTTCTCTTTATGTGGCTAATAAGGTGGCAGCAACAAAAAAAAATTACCTACCTTTATGAAACTCCAGCTAGCTGGTCACCAGTTACCTGCTCTGATCACCATGACAACAGTGAGTCTTCACGGCAAGTTCAGTGCAACTCTGTAAGTTATAAGCTGAGCCACTTTGTTTCCTGCAGGTGTGTTTTTGTTGTAGCACCTTTTTTTTACTCCTTTTTCTCTCCTGCCCATAAAAATTAGCCTTTCCTGAAACTCAGCTCCCAGACTGTCCAGCAAAAACACGGGTAACCCAGCAACACCGCCACGGAACAGATACAGTCGGAAGAGTTTTCTTCTGTTCGGTTTAAAGAAATGCTTGATTCTCACTCTGAATTCAGCTCTTTAAGTGTTTTGCAATAAACTCATTCATTAAATCAGGTGTTTTTAAAGTGGAATCCCAATAATTTATTGCAAGACTTAATTAAGTGATTCAGTGATCCATATTTAAGTGATTCAGATGTATGAATGGTTTGGTGTGAAACACTCCGTTCTAGATAAACTTACCGAGTCAGAACTGTTCACAGTGGTGGTGATAGGAACCAGACGTCCACCTCTAAAAGGCAGTGTTGCTATGAAGGTACCTGCAACTTAATTGCATTTGAAACGCGCTTTGAAGGCATTGAATTTTCATTTCAGCAATATAAATATAAATTTAATTTAAATTTCATGTTGCCAAGATATGACAGCTCACTGCATAGGCTGTCTTTTAAGGAGGCCATCATGCTGAGCTTTTATAACAAATGTAAAAAGTATTGTCTCTGCCTTCACTGCACTGTTTTTCCTAACCGTATCAGTGCTGACACACAGGATTATGGGATATGTAAAGCAGTGATGGTATGCTGCCTTCAAAAAAACAGCCGAATAGAGGAACCTCAGCAGGCATTCAATTCAGACGCGACTCTGTGCCTTTCTGCCTCAGAATACTGACTGATTAGGCAGAGTTTATTAAGCTCAGACAGCTTTTGTTTTACAGTGGTTTTGAGAAGATTTTGGCCTTAAACTCCATTCATGGTGGAGGGATACATGCAGGGCGCTGTGAGGCAAAATAGTCCCCAAAGAAAACTTATTATTTCAGATTTTCCACTATTTTCCATCATCAACATTCCATATAAACTCAGAAGACTCGTGTAGGTTCACTGGTGGTTCTGGATAGTAAATAAAATGTCTATATTTCGCTGCTGTTGGAAGTCAGTGGACGTTTTTCCGGTTCTTTTGGTCCATTCATCACGAAAGTTACACACAATGTAAAGAGCAACAGGTATTTTTAAATTATGTCAAAAACTGAAAAACGACCAAATCGAGATACGAGGTTTTGTTCCGACAACAGCGATTTGTGTTGTAGTCATGGCGACCCCTGGTTCCTATCACCACCACTGTAAGGCAAAGCGAGGCAAATTTATTTGTATAGCATGTTTCATACACAGAAAATGCAAACACAACAATAAAAGCATTAAATAATATTAAATAATAAGTCATTTGCAAAGATAGTTAGAAAACTAAACTGCTGAAGAGAAAAGACAGGAAAACAGAAAATAAATCCAGGGATGTGCCGAGATGGAGTGGCACAAGAAAACAAGAGCGTCTGTAATCTGAACCATTTCACACCAAACCACTCTGAATGACTCTGTTTACATCTCACACGCTGAATTATGGGGGATTGACCCTTATATAAGGTCTAGCGCTGCACTCCGCTGTGCTCTGCGGCCCGACAGGACCAGACTGTAACACCCTGTTACTCAATACTAAGATTCTGCAAAGACCTTTTTAGCCTTTGCTGTTTGCCAGTCGCTGTTAAAGGCCTCTCTGTTTAGATTTGCCCACTGTTTGTGAGCGTCGTCTTTATGCAATGTTGTATCTTTAAAAAAATGTTTTAATGTTTAATGTAGAAAAGCATCGTTTTTTGCTGCTTTCCAGAATCGCTCTGTTACATTAAAGGGTAAATCCTCCTCAAATCCTGACTGACCCGTTTTTATAATTGACTTCAGCAAATATAATATAGATTTTTTCCCCTTTTTAAAGACTCAAATCCGAAATCTTTAATAAGTTAATAAATCTGTGATAAGAGTAATAAATCTGCAAATTTGGAGGATCTGATGTTCTCCAGTGTGGAGATGTAGAGCGATGAAGTTCCTCCAGTGCATCTTTGTCTCTTTTGCTTTTGTTAAACACATTTTAACCTGAATAAAAACTGAAAAAATCAAATATCTCACATTAATAGTTTAAAAGTTATGACTGCATCAAAATTTGCTAAATTTTCCTGTGTAATTCAATTTAAGGTGAAAAGGCCACGCCCACTTTTGCCTTTAAAAGCTTCTATCTCAGAAACTAATGAAGATACACGCCTCAAATTTTACAGGCTGACTTTTTAGCACAGTTACATTATTCCTTGGAAATATTATGCAAATCTGCGATGGTCAGTCAGGAGGTGATTTTACATGGATTGACCCTGAAGTTGCAGTCAGGAGTTGCATTAATGAAGTTAGTGTGAGACAGAAAGCAGTTATTGGTCCAAAACATTTGACACTGATTATGCGAAAGTGTCCATTTTCATATTTTTTAAACTAATTTTTATTGACAGGTTCATGTCTGTTTTCTGTCTGGGTGGAAGTGACTCTTAGGTCCTGAAACGTTTACGTATCATATCAAGAGAAAAATGGAAATATATGGAAATAATTCTACATGAACATTATAAGATGCAGGTGTGTATAAGAAATCTATGTACAGTGAATTGAAATTTGTATAGATGTCATAATTTTATGCCGATGTGATCTTGGCAATGCACTTAATAAGCCTGATTTGTCGATATGTAAAGTACATTGATGATTTATTTGCACGCGTTGTCCCAGCTCACCCTCGAGGTGCAGGGCGGAGCCTGTTCTGTGCTAAATTTGGCTCCGAGTGCTTTTACAGTTTTTACAGTGTGTTTATTCATTTTCATAAACATGCATTACTGCTGCAGACTGTACCTGAGGACAGAATACACAGATTATTCTCAGATTAAACGTCTTTATAACCTGTTTTCTACATGTTTTGGAGGTTTGTGAGTTGTTTGGTTAGTTTGTTAGTCTGAACTCATCTGAAGGGAAAAGTATTGGAGTGCAGGCTGCGTTCATGACCAGCAGGGAATGGGAACGTGTCCGAACTCAATTGGGAAAATTACCATTTGAACGTCACAGACATGCTAAAAACATAATATCACGATACTTCATGAAATTTTCATGATACACGATACGTCATGATAAAACTTAACACAGTGATTTTTATTCAATATCTGACACCCTCCAGCTGTGTCTGATCCACTCACACCAGCACACCACACACTAACACACCACCACCACGTCAGTGTTACTGCAGTGCTGAGAATGATCCACCACCCAAATAGTCCCTGCTCTGTGAGGGTCCATGGGGGTCCTGACCACTGAAGAACAGGGTAAAAGGGGGCTAACAAAGTATCAGAGAAACAGATGGACTACAGTCTGTAACTGTAGAACTACAAAGTGCACCTATATAGTAAGTGGAGCTGATAAAATGGACAATGAGCGTAGAAACAAGGAGGTGGTCAGAATGTTATGCCTGATATATATATATATATATATACCAGTAGAAGAAGCATTTATGCTGCTATATAGAAGCATTTTCAAGAAGGTTTGTCATCAATTTCACAATGAGAGCATATTTGTAAGAAAACAATGAAGCTCATGAGGAACAACATTAAATATTGTTAGGATTTTGTTTTTTTTCTATACTATATAGTTGGAACCACAGAACCAGTAGACGCCTCAAACAGGGCTTAAGTGGCTAAATTCAGTTCCCCCAGACTGTGTATCTGAGTAAATAACAGTGGGTCATAGAACCATATAGAACCCTAGAACTCGATGTAAAGAACCCTTAAAGAGCCGTCTTTTTTAAGAGATTCTGAATTTAGTCCTTAATTTAGTCCGTTTTCTGCGGGGAACAGTGAGCAGTCTGTCTGTGTGATGTTAATTGTTAATAAACACTTAATAAGCGTGATGTAGAAGTGTATGAAGTTGATCTGAATGTGTTTGTGTATTTGTGCTGCGCTGTGTAGAACAGAGTGAATCAGCTTTAATTAACTCTGACGTCTCCAGCCTCGCTGAGCCGCGCTGACTCAGCCTCACCTGTGCACAGGTACGAGGAGGAGTACCCCCTCAAACGGCGCTGAAGTGGCTAATTCACTCTCCCCCAGCGTTCTGACCGTTTATCAGAGTAAATAACAGAGGGTCAGCTGTGCGCTGGTCAGTTTTCTGTGTGTTGTTGTCGGTGAGCAGGTTGAGGCCGCAGATTAAAGCAAGCAGATTAGCTCGATCACACGGCTCAGTTCAGAGCTGCCAGCTTTCCCGCCGCAGTCTGAGCGCCGCCGGGCCCGAGTACTGGTACTGTCTCTGTCTCTGTCTCTGTCTCTGGTACTGTCTCTGTCTCTGTCCCTGTCTCTCTTACCTGTCACACCTGTGAATGTTCAGAGACGCTCATCCTTCTTTCAACTGAGGTAAGAAATTATCCTCATCTGTTTGACTGAACACTGAGTTTGTGTGGTTTTAGTAGCAGTATTGAAGCTTAACTGTCAAAATATATAATATTTCTCATTATAAGTCTGTTTAAAGAATATTATGAAGTTATTAGTTTTTGCTGTAAAATTGTCTTGTTTGTGTTCCTTTTGACAAGAAACATTTTACTTAAAATAAAAGGCGTCTAGAAATAAGATACATCTCATAATCTCCTTACAACCATCTCAAAATTAGAAATATTACATAAATCAACTACATTTAAGATCATTTCACTTGACAAGATACGTAGTTCTATATAGAACCATTTGGACTGTATGGAGCTGCGTAGTTGGAACCGTAGAACCAATAAACAAACAGCACTAAAGTGGCTAAATTCAGTTCCCCCAGTGATCTGACTGTAAATAACAGTGGGTCAGAGAACCATATAGAACCACAGAACCATATAGAACCATAGCCTTCACTAAAGAACTCATGAAGAGCCGTATTGTTTAAGAGTGAAGCTAAAAGCAGTAACAGCTGCCTGAGTCCTGAATTCAGTCCTTACTTTAGTCCGCTTTTGTAGAGAAGTGTTTATGATGTTAATTATTAATGTAATCCATATTAAACACTTAATAAGCTTAATGTAAACCTATATCATATTCATACAACCTCAAAATACTATAGAATTATATAGAAATATTACATATCCTGACTAGATTTAGGATCATTTCACTTGACGGGTCTCCGTGTTCTCCTGTGTTGGTGTAATTTTCTGTGATCTTTGTTTTGTTCAGTAAGACGTTTAGTCGGCGGCTCTGTTTAGTTATTAATGTATTCACAGTTTATTCGCATTAAATGTTAAAAACGTGTTTTGTGCAGCATTTCTGTACCAGGAATGTGTTTTTCTGTAATTATACACAGTAAAAGTGATTTATTGGCTCCGGCTGCTTTATTTGAATGTAAATCCTCCCTGTTGTGTTGAGCTGATATCCGAGTGTTTCATCAGCAGCGTGATGGTCATTCGGCTCTGAGGCTTCAGGACGGCCGGTTAATGTCCTTCATCTCTAAAATGTGCACTTTTCATGTCCTCAGCTGGCCGTGCTGGTCAGTGTATTGATTAAACTGGGCTTATTGCTGCTCTATACTGGTGTCCTATTTGAAATCTTATTAGGTGAATTAGTATTACCTGGTTATTGGGGAGGTCAGTGTAAGTAGCCAGTCGCTACATGCTTAGCGCAGTGCTAAGCTAATGATGACCGTGCACAAACAGGAGTGACACATTTGCTCAGCGAACGAAGAAAAAACCATCAACTGGCATAAAAGCATTCTGAAAAGTACAGAGCTGAACTTTGGACCGGTGGTGTATAATTATCTATATATATTATTATATTTCAATGGAACATTCATTCATTCATTCATTCATTCATTCATCATGACATTTACACACAATGTAAAGAACAACAGGCATTTTCTAGACATTTTAAGAGATTTTAATAAGCAAAATGAACTCATTATATTAGCAGATAATTTTGCTTGTGTTAATAAATGAGCTTGAAACCAGAAAAATGATCTGCCGGTATAGTGAGATCATTTTACTGAATAAAATGACCTTATGAAATGATCTAAAACAAACAAATAAATAAATAAATAAACAAACAAACAAACAAATAAATAAATAAATAAAGCCTAGACCTAAGCTAGGTAATCTTATAGTGAAGGCACAGCCATCTGAAAATGAGAAATAATAGAAATATTGACTGGATTTATGCAGTGTGTGTATTTATATGTATATATGTATGTAACACTGATATGTTGCTGAGGTTTTCATGCGTCGTTGTCACTGTTCAGAGTGGCCCACCACCACAAAATATTCAGCCAAGTGCAGATATTTATATATATGTACACCAATCGGCCACTTCGTTAAGTTCACCTCCTTGTTTCTACACTCACTGTCCACTTTATCAGCTCCACTGACCGTATAGTTTCACTCTGTAGTTCTACAGTTACAGACTGTAGTCCATCTGTTTCTCTGCACACTTTGTTACCCTGTTCTTCAGTGGTCAGGACCCCCATGGACCCCCACAGAGCAGGTACTATTTGGGTGGTGGATCATTCTCAGCACTGCTGTAACGGTGACATGGTGTGTTAGTGTGTGTTGTGCTGGTGCGAGTGGATCAGACACAGAGGTTTTTAAACACTGTGTCCACTCACTGTCTCAGTCCAGCAGTGACACTGAAGTGGCCGGTTGGTGTATATAATGTATAATGTTCCTTACTTTTGGCTTTCAGTGGTCAGACTGGACGTGTTGGTGTGTATTTTAGGTTCTTCACCCCAAGCTGACCCCTGTAGGGGTTAAACTGGGGAGAGATGAACACGGCCGGCCAGATTCGTCTCCTACTCTGGAAAAACTGGACGCTCCGCAAGAGACAGAAGGTACTGACCACTCAGTTACGTTCAGACACTGAATATGAGCCACTGAGATGAAGACCTGTAGGAGCGAGTGGTCTAAACAAACTGCCCTCTGTACAGAGAGGCAGCGAGAATGTTACTCAGTTTAACGTGTGTTTATTAACGTAACAGGATGGTTTGGATTATTTCTGCTGGTCTGTTCATCAGGAAGTGTTCACAGTGTGTTGAGCAGCTGCTGATTTCAAATACAGTGAAAAATGTGCAGTACAGGAGTTTACAGTGGTCAGATGTCCGTTCTAACCGTCCCTCTGCCCTGTGCTCAGATTCGGTTTGTGGTGGAGATTCTTTGGCCGGTGCTCCTGTTCGCGGGTCTCGTTTGGCTGAGGAGAGCGAACCCTCTTTACCGCCAGCACCAATGTGAGAACATAAACTCCTCCGTGTTGTTCGGCTCTCTGTGGGTCAGTTAAGGTGGCGAAACTAAAAAACTGGACTGTGTCCATCCTCAAACATCTGCACTGCAGAAAATGTTCTCCTGCCACGTGAAAACGCCTCACGCCTCTTCTATATGATTCATATTTCTCATCATAAGAACATTAGAAGACGATTCGACCTGTTTTGATGTTTTTAACTTTTCCTAATTTAATCCAGTGAAATTCAAATAATAATAAAAAAATAAAATAAAATAATAATTCGGTTTTTCAGTCATTTTATTTATGCACTCAGCATTTTCTGAGCATTTCTGTAAAGTACCATAAACAGATTCTATAACAATAGCCAAACCCCCTTTTTGTGAAATTGTTCCTTAAAGAACCATATATGTTTTCTATCATAGAACCAATAAAGAACAAATAAACTTGTTTGTATTTAAATGTTTCTTTTTGTTGTTACATGTTTATAAATACATATCAGGGGGTTCTTTGGGAAAGGCGATGTTTATATATATATATAAGGCTGATGTTGGTCCCCTCAGGTCATTTTCCCAACAAGGCCTTGCCTTCTGCTGGAATTCTGCCGTGGATCCAGGGAATTTTCTGCAATGCCAACAATCCCTGCTTCCGTTACCCAACTCCAGCGGAGTCTCCAGGGGTCGTCTCCAACTACAACAACTCCATGTGAGTCGCTCAGTCCATCAGGAACACTGACCCAGTCCAACCCAGTCCAACCCAGTCTAACTCAGTCCAACCCAGTCTAACTCAGTTCAACTCAGTCCTGATCAGTCCAACCCGGTCCAACTAAGTCTAACTCAGTCTAACTCAGTCTAACTCTGTTTAACTCAGTGTAACTCAGTCCAACTCGGTCCAACTCAGTCCAATTCAGTCTAACTCAGTCCAACTCAGTCCAATTCAGTCTAACTCAGTCCAACCCAGTCCAACTCAGTGTAACTCAGTCCAACTCGGTCCAACTCAGTCCAATTCAGTCTAACTCAGTCCAACTCAGTCCAATTCAGTCTAACTCAGTCCAACCCAGTCCAACTCGGTCCAACTCTCAGTCCAGCTCAGTCCAGCTCAGTCTAACTCAGTTCAACCCAGTCCAAATCAGTCCAACCCAGTCAAACTCAGTCCAACTCAGTCTAACTCTGTTTAACTCAGTCTAGTTCTGTTTAACACAGTCCAAATCAGTCCAAATCAGTCCAACCCAGTCCAACTCAGTCTAACTCAGTCCAACTCAGTCTAACTCTGTTTAACTCAGTCTAGTTCTGTTTAACTCAGTCCAAATCAGTCCAACCCAGTCCAACTCAGTCCAAATCAGTCCAACTCAGTCTAACTGATAAATCAGTGTGATCGGTTATTAATCTCAGTGTTACTGAGCTCTGCTAAAGCCTGAGTAGACTGATAAATCAATGTGATCAGTTATTAATCTCAGCGTTACTGAGCTCTGCTAAAGCCTGAGTAGACTGATAAATCAATGTGATCAGTTATTAATCTCAGCGTTACTGAGCTCTGCTAAAGCCTGAGTAGACTGATAAATCAATGTGATCAGTTATTAATCTGTGTTACTGAGCTCTGCTAAAGCCTGAGTAGACTGATAAATCAATGTGATCAGTTATTAATCTCAGTGTTACTGAGCTCTGCTAAAGCCTGAGTAGACTGATAAATCAATGTGATCAGTTATTAATCTCAGTGTTACTGAGCTCTGCTAAAGCCTGAGTAGACTGATAAATCAATGTGATCGGTTATTGATCTCAGTGTTACTGAGCTCTGTGTGACTGTTCTCTCTGGTTCCTCAGCCTGGCGCGGTTCTACGCTGACTCTCAGGAGCTGCTTTTTAAAGACCCTGAGTTCCAGCAGCTTGGCCGATTGTGGCAGGAGGCGTCCACCCTCAGCAGCTTCATGGACACTCTGAGGAAAGACCCGGGACGGGTAGCAGGTACAGTAATCTACATCACTGAGCTTCAGGTCCAGTTTTATTTATAACTGTGCAGCAGATGAGCTATCGTCTCTGACTTTACATCATCAAGGTGGACTGACAAGTTAGGAGTGTCTAATAGAGTGGACAGTGAGTGGACACAGTGTTTAAAAACTCCAGCAACACTGCTGTGTCTGATCCACTCGTACCAGCACAACACACACTAACACACCACCACCACGTCAGTGTTACTGCAGTGCTGAGAATGACCCACCACTCAAATAATACCTGCTCTGTGGGGGTCCTGTGGGGGTCCTGACCATTGAAGAACTGGGTAACAAAGAACGTCTCCATAGAACGTTTGTGTGCTTTAGCAGGTCAATTATGTGTCATTCAAACTCGCATAATTAACAAATCCTCTGCGAACTGAGACGTGTGCTACTCCCAGCTAGTGGCCCTAACGTCTTATCTTGGCAAATGAAATCATTCTAAATATATGTAATATTTACATATTACAGCAGGTGCAATAAGATTCATTTAACTTCTAGACATTTTTGGTGATTTGGTGAGTTAATTCTCGTTCAATAATCTCAAAATAAGACAGATATATTGACTAGATTTAAGATTATTTCACTTGCCAAGATGCTGTTTTTGTAGTGTATTTAAGATGCTTAGGCTTACTAAGACAAGAAGTAGCGCAGTGTGTGGGTCAGTGGGTTCCCAGGCATGGAGCGGAGAACCCATGATGTGAAATACAGCGGGTCCTGGGGGATCAGGGACCCCCTAATTAACCTCTTGGACCACCTGAATGTCTCAAAACGGAAATTCTGGGGATCCCTAAAAATAAACTTGGTACAAAATAATGTTCTGTTAGGGTCAAAGAGATGGTTTAACTGCTACTTCACCGAAAGCTCATTGCTTCACCCGGGAATCAGTGAGCCTCTGTTGCACATTGGTATTGGATGGATGGATGGATGGATGGATAGATACGTTATTTTACGTATGTATTGATCCTGAAGGAAATGTAGCAGACAGTATGAGTCACACAGCACAGTTATAATAATAAGGGTGATACAATATAAAACCAAGAATATATACAAAAAAACATCTACAGTCATATATACAACTAGAAATATACAAAAACATGCAGCGAATTGCAGAGAAAATCTCTTGGGAAATTGGGTGAATTTTCAGATTTGTCATTTAAGTCAGCATTTCCAGAGGAGCTGCTAAGCCAAACGTTTCGTTGCCATGAAAGCTAACATCAGTACCTCTGTGGTGAGTGAGTTCACCTCACAGCCAGCCAATGGTAACGCAGCCGGCCACCTGGGAGAACCCCTGGACCTGAGGGAGAACTCAAATACAGGCCGTGACTGAGAGAGAGAAGCTGGCGGTGAGGTTCAGCCTGGGTGAAGTAGAGAGGCCCAGTTAGCGTTTTCCTCAGCGTGGCTAACGGGAAACTCTGGAGTTCCAGATTCAGAGCCGGGCTGGGTTACAGTATTTTCTGTTCAGCTCGGTTTGCGTAGGTGTTCCAGCAGAGTGATGGATGGACTGAGCGGGTATTTCCTCTCCTTCCTCAGCCCTTCACTCTTTTCCTTCCCCCTCTTATCAAATGATCACTGGCAAACACTGTGAACGCTTTACAGTGAAACTGAGGGGCTACTTCAGCCAACAGCACTGAGAGTCTCACTCTCAACACGAGTTAGCAGCAGCAAAACTACCACAGATCAGTTCACTTTAGTTCAATTCAGGTCAGTTCAGTTTAGTTTAGCTGGCTAGCCTAGCTTTAGTTTAACTCCACTAATAGTGACATTAGCTTTTTTAACCAGCACAAAATCAAAGAAACATGTTTAGGTGTGGTCTGGATGTGGACTCAGCTACTCACTGTTTATGAATTACTGAAAATATCCAGAAAAACCATTTTAATATTTCATTTTCACATTGTGACTGAGAATTGCTGCAGAGATCGTGTCACTTTGTCTGCATTTCAGTCTGTGGTGTCTGCTGAGTGACGCACATCACTGCTCAAACGGGCCATTTTCACAGCTGTGATGACTCTGCAGTTCACAGAGCGTTTTCAGAATATGAGACGAAAGGCTTTAGCTTATCAGCCAGTCAGAGCAGTGCTAACGAGTCTGAGTTACTCTTGCATCACAAGAATGTTGAGGTTTTAAGATGAAGAACCAGTTAAAAATGAATTCATTAATTATTAAATAAAATAAAAAATTACTCTTTTAAGATTATTTTAGATTTAATTTTTTTGCTGTTGTGTGTAGTTTTGTATTGTATTATCATAGTGTAAGAGTGATGATAAGTTCCCCAACCTTTTTCTCAATTTGGTTGTATTCAAATCAATTTAATTCAGTTCAGTTCAGTACAATACAGTTCAGTTCAATACAATACAGTTTGGTTCAGTTCATTTCAGTGCAATACAGTTCAGTTCAATACAGTACAGTTTGGTTCAGTACAGTTCAGTTCAATACAGTACAGTTTGGTTCAGTACAGCTCAGTTCAATTCAGTTCAGTACAGTTCAGATCAGTTCAATACAGTTCAGTACAATACAGTTCAGTTAAATTCCATTCAGTACAGTTCAGTTCAATTCCATTCAGTTGAGTACAACACAGTTCAGTTCAGTACAACAAAGTTCAGCTCAGTTCAGCACAATACAATTCAGTTCAGCTCAGCTCAGTACAATACAGTTCAGTTCAGCACAATACAGTTCAGTTCAGTACAATACCATACAGTTCAGTACACTATAATGCCGTTCAGTTCAGTTCAGTACAGTTCAGTTCAGTACAATACACTTCAGTTCAGTTCAGTACAGTTTGGTTCAGTATAATGCAGTTCAGTTCAGTCCGATACAATACAGTTTAGTTCACTACAGTGCAGTTTAGATTAGTTTAGTCCAGTTCAATTTAGTTTAGTTTGGTTCAGTCCAATTCGAGTCAATTCAATTCAGTTCAGTTTCAGAATTCAGTACAGTTCTGTTCAATTGAATTGAACATAATTCAGGTCAGTTCTATGCATTTAATTTAAATTGAATAAAGTTCAATTCTATTTGGGTCAGTTCAGCTGGGTTCAGATCAGTTTATTCCAATTCAGTTCTATTCAGTTCATTTAATTTCAGGTCAGTTTATGTCAGTTCAGTTTAATACAATTCATTTCAATTTGGTTCATTAAAATTGAATTCAGTTCTGATGAATTCAGTTCAAGTCAGTTCAACAATGTTTCAGTGCAGTTGTGTTGCCATTAACGCTGTAACGGTGTAAGTGTTGCTATGAAACACTGTGAACGCGTTCCGTCTGTATCAGTTCTTCTCTGGTCACTTCCTGCCTCTGTCTGACTGTACTGTCCGGCTGTGTCCGTCAGGGCGAGGGCTGAAGGTGGAGGACATTCTGAAAGACGATGAGACTCTGACCTCGTTTTTGCTGCGTGACGCCGGCCTGTCCGACTCCTTGGTGCATCAGCTCACTAAAGCACTGGTGCGGGTGGAACAGGTACTGCCCACCTTCACCTACCCTTTCACTGACCATTACACACCTAGGGTCACTTCTGTTCTCCACCTGAACATTTATGATAAATTCACTCAGTCACTTCCTGTCCTGATGCCCTGAAACGTAAAGCTGTACTAATGTAGCTACGGACAGAGACGGGATGTGATGATTTTATGTATCACTGTTTTTCAGTTTTTGACATGATTTGAATATACCTGCTCTCCTTTACAGTGTGTGTGAATTTTACGATGAATGGACCAAAAGAAACGGCCCAGAATTACTTGGAAAAAAGTCTGGTTCCATTGACTCACATTAAAAGTAAAGCATGTTTTTTCCTTCTCCTGTAAAGTTACCATTTAGGAGATAGGAGGTTTTGGTCTGACAGCAGTGAAATATTTAGTTTATTAGTGTCTCTATTAATGCCTTGAGTTTAAATAGATCAGAACATAATGCTTGTAAATATCTAAGACAATGTGTATATTCATGCTTTAATTTTCTGATAATCAATCAATCAATCAATCAATCTTTATTTAATCTTGGAGAACTTTGAGGGTGACCATCATTTACAATGTTGTCGAGTTGATACAGAGCAACGGATTGATAATGTGTAAGAACATATCAAATCATAAACTAAATTCAATAAAAAAAGACTCAAATCAGGTAAGTATAAAAAAATGGAACATTAATAATAAAAATACATAAAAAGACAATAAAAAATGTAAAACAATAATTAAAACGTAGCTAAAATGTAAAGGTTAATAAAATCAGATCAAATCAAAATAAAATAAGAGGAGAATAGGATCAAAAAGTAAACAAAACATTTATTAAAATGATTAAAATAATAATAAAATAATCATAATTAAAATACGAATAAGAATATATGTAATAATAAATAAATAATAAAATAATGAAAATAAGATAATAATGGTAAAAAAGGGTAAAATGATCATTTTTATTCATTTTTGTCTGCATTTGAAAATTCTTCTTCCTGCATCTGTTTGTAGGCTCCAATGCAATAACACCCACAAGGCCTGCATCTGTCACGCTTACATTGCGAATACAGGGCATGTGGGGACTCTGATGTCATTTCCTGCCTCTATTGTGATAGTGATGGAGGGCACAGAGAGCAGGTTAAAGCTGGAGAGTGAGCGGATCAAAGAAAGTGCTTTATTTCCCTTCACGCTGTACATAGAAACAATAGAGCTGCAGCCACTGACCTCAATTCAAGGAGTGAATAGCTTCACTCAGAGGGAAAAAACAGTCCAGTTACGGCCAAAAATCAGGTTTGCACAAATTTCCCCCCTTTCAGCACATGCAGCGGATTTTAGTCCCTGTTTGTAGGTAACAGTGAGTCACACAGAGTCAGAAACCACAGAATCAAGAGTCTATTAGAGACACCGAAGAACCTTTTAGCGTTGATGACAGTGCACAGCGCTACTGGGCAGGTACTTTTAAAAGTCCAGTGTCCGTAATGTATTCAGTGACGTATTTCATTGCAATTCATAAAAAGTAACTATTTAAATACATGTAGAATGCGTAGTGATGAGGCAGACGGGGAAAACTCTGTGAAACTCTGCTGTAATTTTTACTTTATTCAGGCTGTTCCTGGTGGCAGTTTTCTTTATGTAATTCTTCTTTTAATAAGTTTCATGAAAAATTCACTTATTTAAAACTCTCAGCATGATTTTGGCTCCCATCACCTGCTTTGGTTCACTGAAAATCAGCGTACAACATTAAGAGCTGACACAACTGACAAGAGCTTCTGCAGTTAAGTACTTATTTAGTGTTTTAAATGAAATATGATGATTTTCTGTGTGAACAGCTGTTCAAAGCTGTGTTTGCTGGTCTGTACTGGCTGAGTTTCTGAGCCCCAAATGAGCTAAAACTGTCACTGAAACTGTCACTACAGAATCATCAAGTTTCGGTAGTGTTATGATTGTTTATATATATATATATATATATATATATATATACACACACACACTATTAAAAAGCCAATTCCTCAAGGGTTCTTTAGTAAAGACAGTGGTTCTGTTTAGAGCCATGAGTTCTATGTAGAACAATTTCATGGTGTAATGGTTCTTCAGATCTTCTATATAGTACCAAAAAAAGGTTCTGCTATTGTTATGATGTCAAGCACGAAACATCTTAAAAAGAAGGTCCTTTAAGGGTTCTTTAGTAAAGACAGTGGTCCCATATAGAACCATGAACACTCATAAATGGTTCTCTGCATGGTGAAATGGTTCGTTGTATGTTTCTGTATAGCACCAAAAAAAGGTTCTTCTACTGTGATGAAGTCAAGCTAGTAACAACACCTTTTGGTGCTGTATAGAACCATTTTCAAAAAGGTTCTATATAGAACCATATACAACACATTTTCCATCAGTCTGAAGAACCATTTCACTATGCGCTTATAGTTCTAAGTAAAACCATTCCCTTACTAAAGAACGCCTGAAGAACCATTTCTTTAAGAGTGTATAAATAACACGCGCGCTTCCTCTTAGAGAACAGAGATGTTTTTAAAGAGGAGTGATTGTTTATCAGATCTGTAAACTCATCTGTTACAGCAGAACTTCCTTCACCGCATGTTCTACATCATTCCAGCTCATACCGATCAGATACGACAGTCAGCGCCAGTGTTTACACGTTAATGTCATTTACGCTGGGTGTGATGATGGGGGCGTGTCCTTTTTAAAGAAATACAACTGTTTGTACGCCAAAGTTTGGACGTCTCAGTCAGAATACAGTTTATTTTTACTGATTTTGTAAGTGGAAACATTTACACACAGAACACAGAACACATTTTAATGTACAGTTACTTTTGAGTTAATGATGTTTAACATATAAGTTAATATATATATATATATATATATATATATATATATATATATATATATATATACACATATATCTATATATATAAAATCGCATCATATTTATGTCAAATAGAGGATTTAGATGTGTCAATCAAAAAAACATGTAATTCAAACTTTTGCACATCTATGTCCAAAACTTTGTAGACAGTTCTGATACACCTTAAATGCTAAGTTTTCTTTGGGGACTATTTGGCCTCACAGCGCCCTGCATGTATCCCTCCACCATGAATGGAGTTTAAGTTCTCTAAACTATCATAAAACAGTGTCTCAGTCATCAGGCAGTGAATTCATAACCATTTCATGTAGGAACTTTCTGTGAGGGAGCTTTTAGAGGTGGACGTCTGGTTCCTATCACCACCACTGTGAACAGTTCTGACTCGGTAAGTTTATCTAGAACAGAGCGTATCACACCGAACCATTCTGAACGACTCTGAACCACTCTGAACCGCTCTGAACCTCTCTGAACCTCTCTGAACCGCTCTGAACCTCTCTGAACCGCTCTGAACCGCTCTGAACCTCTCTGAACCGCTCTGAACCGCTCTGAACCTCTCTGAACCGCTTTGAACCGCTCTGAACCGCTCTGAACCTCTCTGAACCGCTTTGAACCGCTCTGAACCGCTCTGAACCTCTCTGAACCGCTCTGAACCGCTCTGAACCGCTCAGAACCACTCAGAACCTCTCTGAACCGCTCTGAACCGCTCTGAACCTCTCTGAACCGCTCTGAACCTCTCTGAACCCCTCTGAACCCCTCTGAACCGCTCTGAACCGCTCTGAACCTCTCTGAACCGCTCCGAACCGCTCCGAACCGCTCCGAACCCCTCCAAACCTCTCCGAACCGCTCTGAACCTCTCTGAACCTCTCTGAACCGCTCTGAACCGCTCTGAATGTCTCTGAACCTCTCTGAACCGCTCTGAACCTCTCTGAACCTCTCTGAACCGCTCTGAACCTCTCTGAACCTCTCTGAACCTCTCTGAACCGCTCTGAATGTCTCTGAACCTCTCTGAACCCCTCTGAACCCCTCTGAACCTCTCTGAACCGCTCTGAACCTCTCTGAACCTCTCCGAACCCCTCTGAACCTCTCTGAACCCCTCTGAACCTCTCTGAACCGCTCTGAACCTCTCCGAACCCCTCTGAACCTCTCTGAACCGCTCTGAACCTCTCTGAATCGCTCTGAACCTCTCTGAACCTCTCTGAATCGCTCTGAACCGCTCTGAATGTCTCTGAACCTCTCTGAACCCCTCTGAACCTCTCTGAACCTCTCTGAACCGCTCTGAACCTCTCTGAATGACTCTGTTCAGTTACATAGTGAATTACATTTGCATTCAGATTATGTTCTGTATTGACAGGTTTCAGTCTGCATTCACTTTTAAATCATAATGAAATATCTGCTCTTATACTGACAAACACAGCTGTGGTTTGGATTTAAAATCTGCACTTTCTACAGAATTTCTCCACTTGGTTCAGTGAGCTATGAGTGAGAAATAACTAAATAAGAATATGAAGAGGCTTATAAAGTACTCTGAAACACTTCTTACTCCAGTTACTCACAGCTGGGGACCCTTGAGGCTGATCCCCATTCTAACCCTCTGTCTCTCTGTCTCTCTCTGTCTCTCTCTCTCTCTCTCTCTCTCTCTCTCTCTCTCTCAGTTTGCGTATGGTGTTCCGGATCTTTCTCTGAAGGAGATAGCGTGCAGCCAGGCCCTGCTAGAGCGCTTCATCATCTTCCCCAACCGCCGCGGCCCGTACGCCGTCCGAAACGCAATGTGTGCCCTCTCCCAGCAGAAGCTGCAGGACATTGAGGACAAACTCTACGCTAACGTGGACTTCTTCAAACTCTTCAAACTGGTCAGTCCACGTTACACCATGTCCATCGTACGTTGGTAGTGTGTCTGCAGCACCAGGAAAAAGCTCGGACACACCTAAACATACAGGGCTTTTTATCTTTGTACAGTTGGTCCCATAATCTATAAAATAAAGGCCTTTACACACCAAACGCAATGTTTACGTACAATTCATTCAGGTGAGAGTAAATTCATTTGAGCACATGTTTAACTGACGTTTCTTGCACAACAAAACACAGCTTTTCAGAGAGCGACAATGTGATAGCACTCACCCTCTTTCGAGTTCTGCAAACTTTCGGCGACATTAACTCACTGACCAATCACAGGCTCACAGGCGCCTCTGCTGTTGGCATGGTGACAACCAAGATGTGTTCCAGCAAACAGCAAAACTTTTACACAAACGCTAAAAGTATCAGAATCTCACATTTCTCTATAAAAATCGCGTTAAATGTGTGAAGTTTTAGCTCCTAAATGAAGTGATGAAGCTCTTCATGCTACTTTCACTCTAACTAAACGGCCAGTAGAGGCAGTAGAGAGTAAACACGTTCAGCCTGTTTGTTTTGAGCTTTGTCTCGTTTGGAGCTGCATCTCCAAAATTAGCTCAGACTCAGCTGAGATCCCAGCTGTGAGTAAAAGAGCTCGTACAGTTTCGGCTCCTGAATGAGGAGAAACTCTCCGTTCTCCTCCCACTTCTCCACAGCAGAGCGCCCTGCACTGTCAGTCAGTCCGTTTTGTGAGAATCAAAAGACCCTTTTTTAATATAGTTGATATATATTTTGTATATATATTCTGATATGTATTCTAAAAATCGCGTTGTGTCCTGTGTGAAAGTTTTGCTGCAGATAAATTGCGTCCAAATTTTTCACATTTTCATATCATGATTTTGTGTTGCGTTTGGTCTGTAACTGCTTTCACACATATGGAATTACTAAATTTAGAATATTGTCCTGCTCTTGAATACTGCACCTCACAACACAGCCGACTGCAATGGAGGACTGAAATGATATTCCACTAATTAACTGTTAGCACCGCACTCAGTAACGGGAATGACGTAGTGACTCTAAATTTCATTTGAGTTTTAAATCGGGGCATTAAAAACATCTTTAACAAGATTGTTTGGAAATGAATTCATACATTCATGCAGAGACTTAACTGTTTATGTTTTCTTATTGTTTTATTCATATTCACGAAGACAGTATTCATGTTATTGTTTTTGACGCTGTTAAAAACTGTTTGACTAACTAAGCTCACTACATTAAAACATATGGTTCTTCAGGGGTTCTTTAGTAAAGACAGTGGTTCCATGAAGACAAAGAACCATTTGCATGTTTAAATGGTTCTCTGCATGGAGAAATGGTTCTTCAGATTGATGGAGAATGTGTTGTGGATGGTTCTACAGGGCACCAAAAAGGGTTCTGCTGTGGTTAAGATATTAAGTTTATAACAATGGCAGAACCCTTTTTGGTGCTATATAGAACCCTTTTCAAAATGTTCTATGTGGAACCACATACAACACATTCTCCATCAGTCTAAAAGAACCATTCCATCATGCAAAGAACCAATTAAGCATGAAGTGGTTCTGTATAGAACTCATGGCTCTAAATAGACCCATTCCCTTTACTGAAGAACCCTTGAAGAGCCGTCTTGTTAAGTGTGCTGATTGATACTTCAGGACATTTGTATGATACAAGATGTGTCTCGATATTAATTGTTTCAGACAGCTGATCAGTTGGAACGGATAAAAAGAGCCATTTTAAAAATACTGTCAAAGATTTTTATTCAGTATTTGTCACTAAATCCAGTTAAACTGACTAGTTTTACTCTCTTTATAATGAATCGTGCAGCTGGTCAGTTTCTATGAGCACAGATGATACGCACGATACGATTTGGTGACATAATGTGACATCATTTATCATGATAATGATATTTATTGCCATATTGCCCAGTCCTAGGAGAAAGGTGACCTAGAGGAAAGTGCTGGTGTCCAGTTATTTCCTGGTGTTTCAGGACAGAGCTGTGGAGCTGCTGTTTGTTCTGGCTGAGCCACACATTTCAACAGGTGGACACATTAAACGAGGAATCTGGGGCTAAAGCCAAACCTGCTTAGGCCTCCTTCTGTTATATTTGGACTATCTCTCTCTCTCTCTCTCTCTCTCTCTCTCTCTCTCTCTCTCTCTCTCTCTCTCTCTGTCTCTCTCTCTCTCTCTCTCTCTCTCTCTGATAGACTGATAGATTTAGGCTGAGTTGATAGGCTCTTGCTGTAGTTAGCATGGTGACGGTGCTTGGCCTAGTTCTCTAATCAGCTTAGCCTCCAGATGGTCCTGATGGACGTGGCTCCGTCCTGCTGATCTGAGACCAGACTGTTGAGTGTTCTCAGAGTTACTATGGTGAGGATTTAGGGGCGGAGGCTGGTTCTGGATCAGTGTAAAGGAAAGACTGACTCAGGGCTGTGAGGTTTGAGCATCTCCAGCTTTTATTATACAGAGCTGCCTTTCATGTGGGGAGGCCTGTCCGGGCTGAACGGGGCTTTGATTTGAAACACTCTATAACTGTTTTCAGGGTCCTGATGCAGAAAAGTATGGAAAAGTATGGAATTTGATTTGGCTAATTTCCAGGTGTGGATAAGTATGGAAAAAAGAAAAGAGAGTATGGAAAAATATTTGTGTTTCCAGACTGTTGCCCCTATTCTGCTTTCAAAAAAATGTATAAAATTTAGAATTTCTAAAAAATAAATTGATCATGGCTTTTGGAGCAGCAGCCAGAATGTTTACCACTGTGTGAGCTGGATCTCATAGAAAACAAGGCAGGATCATGGAGAGACGACCTGCGTCATCAGGGGGGAAACATCAACGTTTAAAAGGGAGTTAATGTGCAAATTGCGGGACACTGTGTCTTGAAACAGCTTTGACATAAAATGTCAACACCAGCCTGTTTCAGTACCTCCTGAGGGAGTCTAATCAGATTTAGTTTCTCTGTATATCCGGCCTGAAGAGGGGCTAAATATATAGAGACACTAAATCTGACTGGGCTCCCTCAGGGTCCCTTTTCTGTCCCAAAATCAGAGTGGAAAAATGACCCCACAGAGTGACCAGCCATCGCTTATTTTGACTTCGACCATTAGCTGACCAAATCCCAGGTAGGCTAGTATTAGCACTGCTATTATCAACGTTCTCTTCTTCTATATCGAACTGAATCGAATACATGTGAACTTGTCATCTTGCTATCATCTATTTAGAAGCCATTTAGTCCCTGGAAACATTAGGATCAAGCACTTTGGTAGCTAGCTGGCTAACCTAGAGCAAGCTAACGTAGCTAGAACCTAGATAGCCTAACTAACTAGCTAAACTGAAATATGTGGGGAATTGGATACCATTTTAACAACAAATTCTCAGACAGAAAATGAATAAACCTTTTGGTCTTTTGCACACAGACATGACACTATCAGGATCCCATGATGTCCCTGAGGATGAGGGGACTTTGTCTGTTGATAGTTTTAAGCCAACTATGACGTCTTTTTGGTGGTGCTTTTTGTCTTGGAATCGTGTAAAACCTTAAATGAGGTTTTTAATCGTATTTGTCGTGCAGCTCACCACTCAACAGCTTTTTGACAGATTTGCATACTGCAAAAATGGTACCTCATCAAGTAAAATTGTCTTAAATATAGTCAATAATATTTCTCCTTTTAAGATTGTTGTAAGCTTAAGTTAAGATTATTTTCCTTATTTCTAGCCTGGGTTCGATTCCCGGCTGGGCGGCCATGGGTCTGTGTGGAGTTTGCGTGGGTTTCCTCCGGGTTCTCCTCCCACAGTCCAAAGACATGCAGTCAGGCTGATTGGACGTGCTAAATTGCCCCTAGGTGTGACTGTGTCTGTCTGTCTGTCTGCCCTGCGATGGACTGGTGACCTGTCCAGGGTGTATCCTGCCTTCCGCCCAATGACAGCTGGGATAGGCTCCAGCACCCCACCGCGACCCAGAAGGATAAGCGGTTTAGATGATGTGTGTGTATTAAGTAAATTATCTCACTATTCTTTCAGATCATTTTGCTTGTTGTAAGAAATGGGCTTGTATGTGTCAGTATAGTGAGATAATTTTACTCAACAAAATGACCTAAAATAATGACCTAAAATAATCCATTTTGAGATGCACGACCATCTCAAAATGGGAAATATTAGACATATCGACTAGATTTAGGATCATTTCACTTGGCAAGGCACCATTTTTTTGCAGTGCAGTTTTAGTTTAAGACCAATAAAAACAAAGTGTGCAATGCAAATCAATGGGAAGTGCAGAGCTGTTTTCCTCCATGGTGTGGGCGTGGCCTAAATGTGCTCTGTCTCTGACGTGCAACCAGAGTGTGTAATCCCCCCTGGTATCTGGGGGTCCCATGTTGGCTGCTAACTCTCTCTCCATAGCGGCGCTGAAGCTTCAATGTCAGTAAATGTTTGTTTATCAGCTGTTCTTCTGTAGAGTCTCTGTTCTAGTGCGGTTCTGCGCTCTTCCTCACAGTAACTGAGATCTTCCTCGTCTCCTCTTCTGTAGAGTCTCTGTTCTAGTGCGGTTCTGCGCTCTTCCTCACAGTAACTGAGATCTTCCTCGTCTCCTCTTCTGTCTTCAGTGTGAGAAATGAGGAACAGTCACTCTTCACTCCAAACTCTTGGGAAACTGGGCGAGTTTTCAGATTTACAGATCTGCTGCAGCTCATTGTAAAGTTTTTCAGAGGAATCCGGGCAGAGTTACAGTTTCTAGGCTATCAAGGACCAACTGGGTGAACCAGTCTGCTACAGCGCCACCCTGAGGCAGAGCAGAGCTGCAGCTCTAGTTAGTTAAGATCACCAGAGACATGATAAGCAGATAAATAATCAGCTCCACTGAATCTGGATTTGAGCATCTATGTGTCTAACAGACAGCAGAACGTCATAATGAGTTTATTTTCAGGGCATCCAGAATTTTAATTTTGAGATATTCATGGTTAATTAGGGGGTCCTGGACACCCCAGGCCTCTATACCTGTACCGTACAGTCAGCTCTGTCCCAAGCACCTTAAACTGTACCAATGTGGCAGTGTCTTTTAAGTGCATGCACACATCGCATCACAAATAACCAAATATTAAGCTTGTCTGAACATTTATGAGTTATGCAGTGATGCAGTTATGAGAAAAGTAAACAGTCTTTTCTGCGTAAGGAAACGAACGGCTGCGTTCATCATCGTTTCCATGGACGCAGTGAATCAACAAGGCTGCACAGATGCTGTGAAAATTAAATTATTCAGTCTTATTCTCTTTCTGACTCATTTCCGGTTCTTATTTATAGACTAAAATATGAGGGAATGATAATATAATATTTATTCAGTGTGTTAAGAGAAAATAATCTGAGTACAGGCAGCACCGGTTACTTTACTCCCTCTTTGGGTGGAACATCGTCCAACTTTCGGCATAGGAGTGTGAACTGAACAGCCACAGTGGGTAAAATCAAGTTTTATGAAAGCTAGAAAAGATCTGAATGATCTACTGAGAAGTCTGGAAATTTGAGTCTGGAAAACCATGGAATTTTGAAATGGAAAATGTCTGTTTTTTTATTGCAGTTTAGTACTTAGTATTATAAATGTGAGCCATAATCTACTGTTGGCTACAGACGCAGCATTGAGGGGTATTGCTTTGATAAAATTGCCACATAATACAATATAATACTGTTCAATATGTAATGGAGTCTCTCTCTCTTCCAGCTGCCGATGGTGTTGGACAGTCACTCCTCTGGGATTGATCTGCACTTCTGGGGTCGTGTGCTGACCGCCGTGTCTGAAAAGCTGCAGGAGGTACAGCAGCAGTTTTATCACTTCATCACTTCATCCATTTATCATTCTGTCATGTCAGTATCAGTCTGTAACTCTGGCTTTCCATCACTCCATCAGTCCTTCTCTCCATCACTCCTTCACTCTATCACTCTGTCGCTCTGTCAGCTCCATCACTTTGTTTATAAATACATTATTCTCTTAGTGTCTCTCCGTCACTCTGTCACTCAGTCCTCCTGTCATGCCGTCACTCCATTCCTCATCGTTCGTCACTCCTTTATTCTAGAATTTTCTCACACTGTGATTCCATTGCTGTTACTCTTCATTCCGTTACTCTGTTTCTCTTAAGGCCGTTATAGAATGAACACAAGGCAAAAAACGACAAGAAACTCTTAAATATTCAGACATATTTTCAAAACTATACACCATCCATCCATCGTCTAAACCGCTTATCCTTCTGGGTCGCGGTGGAGTGCTGGAGCCCATCCCAGCTGCCCCCGGGCGGAAGGCAGGACACACTCCAGACAGGTTGCCAGTCCATCGCAGGGCAGACAGACAGACATACACAGTCACACTCACACCTAGGGGCAATTCAGCATGTCCAATCAGCCTGACTGCATGTTTTTGGACTGTGGGAGGAAACCGGAGAACCCGAAGGAAACCCACGCAGACACGGGGAGAACAGGCAAACTCCACACAGAAATGACCCTGGTCACCCGGCCGGAAATCGAACCCAGGCCCTTCTTGCTGTGAGGCGACAGCGCTACCCACTGCGCCACCGTGCCGCCCCTCAAAACTATACACATCAAATGCATTTTTTATTCTGCCAATACATGTCAAAAAAATTATTCATAAAAGGATAGTTCTGGTCCTAAACTCTGATTGGCTGAGCCGTGTTCAATGCTGATGTAAAATCCATGCCATACACACACCTGTGACCACTTCACAACAACTGATCTCTGTATCACTGCGCCACAGCGTGTAAAATACCCTTGAATAATCTTTGACTCTCATTCTACTCACGTGGAGCACCAAGTGCACTGATGAAGTAAGAACCCGGTTCTGTTTAAACTGAGGGTCTGACAGCTTATTTTCCTATCTAGAACTAGGCCGGTCAGCCAACTAACAGGCTAAAAGATAGCAAACATGCTTAACAGCTCCATCATTAATATCACAGGCTTGAATTAAAGCACTTACGGTATGATTCGCTGTAAAACTGCAGTATAAAGTCTAAAGAATGTCACTTGAAAGTCTTACAGGCTTCAAATGTTCGTGTTTCAGTCAGAAGTCGCAACAAAACCCACACAGAGTCTCAAACGGCTCTGTACTCCCTAAATAGTGTGCCAGCTGTGAAAGTTTAGAAATTCTAGGCTCTTTCCCATGATACAGTTGCTGTAACACACAGCCTCTCATGGCTTATTGCTTTTATATATATACATATATGTTGGCAGAATATATATCAACTACATCAAAAAAGGTCCACAAAATGGTGAAACTGTGACAGGAGGCTCCACTGTGGAGTAGCGAGAGGAGAACTGAGAGTTTCTCCTCATTCAGGAGCTGAAACGGTACGAGAGCTTCACTCACAGCAGGGATCTCAGCTGAGTCTGAGCTGATTTCGGAGATGCAGCTCCAAACGAGACGAACAACAAAACAAACAGGCTGCAAATAAGATCCGTTTCTTCGCTTCCAGGAGACCCGACAGACGGTGACACTGAGCTACTGACCATTTAGGAAGAGTAAGAGTGGCGTGAAGAGCTTCATCACTGAACGAGTTCTTTCACATTTAACTCTCTGTTTGTAGCTCGGTTTGAGATTCTGATCTTTTTAGGGTTTATGTAAAAGCTCTGTTTGCTGCTCCATCATCTTGGTTGTTGTCATGCCAACAGCAGAGGCGACCGTGATTGGTCAGTGAGTTGCTTCAGTACGTAATTAAACATGTAAATACATAGTTAAATCGTTCATTAAATAAACTTAAACAGGGCAACTGGAGTCAAGCCAGTTTGTGGAAGAGTATGTGGAAGAATGGAGGGATGGGGACGGAACAAATGAAAGGAAAAGTGCATAACAGTTATTGATGGGTAAAAAAAATGGAACGAAAAAAACCCTAAAGGAGAAACTTACGGTTGGGGTAACGATCATATTCAGCTGTTAGGTTATTCACTATGAGATGTAGGTCACTTTTCTTCAGAATGGACCTCAGTAAAGTTCTGGTCCTGGTTACGGCGCTGGTTCAGTGTGTTAGTGGTGACGGTGCACGGTGGAGTCAGACGGTGTCGCCTCTCATTACAGCTGAGCTTCACACTGCACAGCACACAGGCTTCAACAGACGGACCACATTAACTGCTCCAGTGATTTAAGCTTCACATGTGCTGGTGTGTATGGCGGAGTTTGTGTGTGAGTGTAAGTGTGTGTGTGTGTGTGTGTGTGTGAGTGTGTGTGTGTGTGAGTGTGTGTGTGTGTGTGTGTGTGTGTGTGTGTGTGTGTGTGTGTGTTTCGGGCTGTAAGTCAAAAGGACATTCTTCAGAGGTGACATCCTGTGGGTGGAGCTGAATTCTTTCCCTTTGGCTTTGGTGACAGAACGCCCAGCCATACATCATACACCACCTCCTCTCAGAGAGAGTGTGAGTGTGTGTGTGTGTGAATGTGTGATTGTGTGTTTGTATGTGTGTGTGTGTGTTTGTGTGTTTGTGTGTGTGTGAGTGTGTGTGTGTGTGTGTGTGAGTGTGATATTGTGGTGACTGAATCCAGTTCATACTGTCACATTTTGGGGACCTTTTTTCCATAAATCATTACATTTAAGGCGAAGACATGTTTTAAGGTTCGGGTTCGGCTGGGAGTACACTTTTAGAAAAGATGGTTCTTCAAGGGTTCCTCAGTAAATACAGAGGTTCACTTATGATTAAATGTTTCTTTGCATGGTAAAATTGTTCTTCAGATTGAAGGAGAACGTGTTGTATATTGTTCTATGTAGCACCAAAAAGTGTTCTTCTGCACTCTTAAAAAAGTGGCTCTTCAAGTGTTCTTTACTGAGGCCATGGTTCTACACACAACCCCATTTCCAAAAAAGCTTGTGCAGAATGTAAATAAAAATAGAATGCAATGATATGCAAAACATGCAAACCATATTTTTAAAGGAAAATACTACAAAGACAACATATCAAATGTTGAAACTGAAATGTTATTGTTTTTTGAGAAATATAAGCCCATTTTGAATTTGGTGCCAATAAAAAGTTGGGACGGGGGCCTGTTGACCACTGTGTTTCACCAACTCTTCTTTAACAACACTCTGTAAGCGTTTGGGAACTGAGGAGACACTGCTGTAGTTTAGAAAGTGAAATGTTTTTCATTCTTGTTTGATACAGGATTTCAGCTGCTCATCAGTTCAGGGTCTCCTTTGTCGTATTTTTCATTGCATAATGCACCAAGTGTTCTCAGTGGTGACAGGTCTGGACTGCAGGCAGGTCAGTTTAGCACCCGGACTCTTTTAGTACAGAGCAATGCTGCTGTAATATATGCAGAATGTGGTTTAACATTGTCTTGCTGAAATAATCAAGACCCTCCCTGAAAAAGACGTTGTCTGGATGGCAGCATATGTTGCCAAAACATGTATATATCGTTCAGCATTAATGGTGCCTTCACAGATGTGTATGTCACCCATACCATGTGCACAAATGCCTCCTATACCATCATGAATACTGGCTTTTGAACTGTATGCTCATAACAAGCTGAGTGGTCTTTATCCCGGAGGACACAGTGTCCATGATTTCCAAAAAGAATTTCGAATGTTGATTCGTCAGACCACAGGACACTTTTCCACTTCGCCTCAGTCCATTTTAAATGAGCTCAGGCCCAGAGAAGGTGGCAGGTGTGTGTGTGTGTGTGTGTGTGTTTGTGTGTGTGTTTGTGTGTGTGTGGGTGTGTGTGTGTGTGTGTGTGTGTTTGTGTGGGTGTGTGTGTGTGTGTGTGTGTGTGTGTGTGTGTGTGTGTGTGTGTTTGTGTGTGTGTTTGTGTGTGTGTGAGTGAATGTGTGTGTGTGTGTGTGTTTGTGTGTGTGTTTGTGTGTGTGTGGGTGTGTGTGTGTGTGTGTGTGTGTTTGTGTGGGTGTGTGTGTGTGTGTGTTTGTGTGTGTGTGTGTGTGTGTGTGTGTTTGTGTGTGTGTGTGTGCGTGTGTTTGTGTGTGTGTGTGTGTGTGTGTGTGTGTGTGTGTGTGTGTGTTTGTGTGTGTGTGTGTGCGTGTGTTTGTGTGTGTGTGTGTGTGTGTGTGTGTGTGTGTGTGTGTGTGTGTGTGTGTGTGGACAGCGTGCAGAGGGAATTATAGCTGTTAGTTCAGCTGTGGTTCAGTAATGAGTCATTCTTCTTGCTGAAAGCTGCAGTGTCTCCTTCTTATTCAGCATGTTTTGACACGATTGAGTAGACGAGCGTTCCTGATGTGTGTATCAGCAGAGTGAGAGCACCTTCACTGAGATATCACACCTTCACACCTTCACTGAGATAACACACCTTCACTGAGATATCACACCTTCACTGATATCACACCTTTACTGAGATAACACACCTTTACTGAGATATCACACCTTCACTGGGATATCACACCTTCACTGATATCGCACCTTCACTGAGATATCACACCTTCACTGAGATATCACACCTTTACTGAGATATCACAGCTTCACTGATATCACACCTTAACTGATATCACACCTTCACTGAGATATCACACCTTCACTGATATCGCACCTTCACTGAGATATCACACCTTCACTGAGATATCACACCTTTACTGAGATATCACACCTTCACTGATATCACACCTTAACTGATATCACACCTTCACTGAGATATCACACCTTCACTGATATCGCACCTTCACTGAGATATCACACCTTCACTGAGATATCACACCTTTACTGAGATATCACACCTTCACTGATATCACACCTTAACTGATATCACACCTTCACTGAGATATCACACCTTTACTGATATCACACCTTAACTGATATCACACCTTTACTGAGATA